TTCACCAATAGCCTCAAAATACTCATAAATGATGCGAGATGCTTCAAAATGACCAGTCCATCTGGTCTAAAAGTTTCTTGAGTTGCCTGCATATTAACAGTATATGTTAAAGCGCCTAAAAAATAATACAACGCATTGTATAAATTAAAAATGATAACATTATTATACCAATTTTGAACCACAAAATGCAACATGTGGTTGTAGAAATGTATAAAAGAAACTTTTATTAATTTTTTTTGAAATAGGATTTACACTCTTTCATTTCGGCCAGACATAACGTTTACCCCATCATATGCCTGGCTTATTATATTCGCTGAATTAATATTTAACTCATTAATTTGCTTAAAATGCAATTAATAATGCTTTCAGCAGAAAGACACTGTAAAATAATTCCTATTAAATTTTCTTGGATTTCTCTAAGAAAAATATGACGAATAATTATGTTCAGGTTTTCACAACCTTGTGAATCTTTTCAGCCTTAAGACAAATAAAAGGCATCTCACTTTTGTTATATTTATCTGAAATATATTCAAGCACCATATCTGCCATAATAGATATTATTAATTCGTTTTGAATCTGGGATGATGTATATTGGACATTTTTGCTTTAAATTTCATAATTTTATGAATTCAGTTTGGATGGTGCATGAAAACATTGCTATAAATAGTTCAGAAGAATATATTATGTTTTCATCAGTTGTAGCATCCGTAATTTTTGTTGAAACAATCCCACGAAAAGGTAGCCCCTGTATGCTAAGAAATAGCATCAAATCAAATATTGATTTAAGATAGTAAAGATTATGGTTAATTTGTTGGCTTGATATCCAATGTCAATCAAATAATGTTTAATATGTAGATTCGTAGATTTTATATTTAATTTTATACAATATCATATGACAATCTCGTAAGTTATGGTCGAATATCAAAAAATATCAATCATTTTTTAATTCTATGGAAGAAGAATGAAATTTTGGTTCCCTTTGTGCAAGTTAGAAATAAATTGATGTTTTAAAATTATATATTTAATAAATTAAATTTTAATTATGCAATTATTTGTTTTTATTTTAATCATTAAATTTTTAAAATATTTATCAGAAAATAATCTGGTATGAATGTTATTTTTTAAAGAAATCAAAGTCTGCTTTTTCTTTGTCAATTGTCTCGAACTGGAAATAAGTTCAAGCTTTCTACCTTCGTCGATCTATCCAGGGCTAATCTAATTTAAATAGCGGGTGAATTGCTGATAGTATATATTCCTCTTTATATGTGTTCGAATCTACTGAAAATAAATATAATCAAATATAAATTGTAAACAATATTAAAACTGTGTACCATTTATCTATTTCCTGCAGGATTGCAGTAATAAGTAGTTTAGAAAACTTGAAATTATTTAAAGCTATTTTTTTATTATCTGAAAATTTCTGCAACTCGGATTTATCTCAAGATTCGTCAAATTGTCCATTCTCCTTAATAAGACTATTAATTTCACGGAACTAAATAAAAGGGTTTTATCTTGTTATTACCGGTTTTATCTTCCCATTTCTCCTTAAAAATGGCTGCACAGTTTCGATTGCCTTGAGGAAATATTTGAGTAGGGACACAATTTTACAAAGCGTAGAATTTACACTCCTAATTTTTTTATTGGTGTAAAAAATGTTTTATATTGGGGCCAGGGCAGGTTAAATCATCTTCATCTGAAGAAATATGTATATTGACATAATATTCTTTATTAAATAAATTATAATATTAGAGTAAGAATATAAACAATAACCTATTCAATATTAAATAGATTATAAATATTGACTAAGTTGGTGGTTGATGTTAATTAAAAACTCAGCTTAAACTATTTATAAAATTAAAAAAATAATTTTATAATACCAAAAAATATATTTACTCCATATTTTTAATTTAAATCGTTACTAGAAGGTAACGAATAGCGTTCCTTTTCTTCTAAAATACTTGACAGCAAAATGCTATATATTTATATAAATTTATGAAACAATTTAATCATATTAAATGTTGAACCAGGTTTATTTATTTCTTCTCTCCATTTTTTAAATTCAAATTATAAAACATAAAATCAAAAGATTATATCGTTTTATTAATAAATACACGAAAGCATCATATTTCGCAAAAGATTTACGAAAATTGGAGTTCTGAATGGGCTACACGGTCTCCTGGCTGTTTTTAGCTCGTATAATTTATCCCTTGTGTTCCAGATGATTCAGCCGAATGTATGGCTTCTACTTTCACCACTCCCTTAGGTGTCTTCCTCTAGACTTAGATAGTAAATAGCTTCTATAATCATAGAGTTCCTGCCTGACCGCTTTACTGACATCTTTGGAAATCGAAGCAACTCTCACCTTCTCAATAATGCGTTGAATTTGCATTCTTTATTGAGTCTTGCTACGCGTGAGACCAAAGCTGAGAACGTCTCCTCCTTACCTTGGGTGGCAACATGAGAGTTTAACGTTCTCGGTCTTCGACGGATCTTGAAGCTTGAATTTTCCAAGAAGAGCGATTGGATCATGGAAGTCTGCCTCCGTGCAAATTGCTCCAATGTTATTAAATTCATCGGAGAAACAACGCAGCCTTTTCTCCGTTGGAGATCTTGCTAGTGTTGAAGAAATTTTGCAATTTCCCTATATAAGCGCTGTCGTCGCTACTAAATTTAGGGAAATCCAGCTTGACGAATTCGGTCATAGTGGAATTATTCGATGCATCCATCGTTGAAAAATTTTATTCAGATAAAAGTGTTATATTTACTTCTTGCGCGAATGACAATGTGGAAGAACTTCGTCCTGGCCTCCATGAAGAATTATCATATAATAACATTTTTATTCTTTATATTATTACAATTACATTTTGATTATTCACAATGATATAAATTACATTTTATCTTTTTCTTATTTTCAATAAAAAATGTACCTTTTATATCTTTTTTTAAATAACCAATTATATAAAAAGAAAATGTTCGCTTAAAATTGAATTTAACTTAATATCAAATATCAAAATAAATTGATTTTAAAGTTAAGAAACAAACAAATAAATTGATTTTAAACAGTTAAAAAACAAACATAAATTGCAATGATAAAATAAAACGTTAATATAAAATAGTTTTACCGAAAGGTATAAAATAAAATTAAATCAACTTTATCGACTTAGGATAATTAATTACCATAAATTGTATCCTTATACAATTTATTTAAAGTTAATACAATACATTTTTTAATAACTTAATTGTAGATTTTCAAGTATTTATAATGATACATTATTGTTCCTGCTGTTATACATCCCTCACTTAAATTAAAGTGGGAATGAATAAAAAGGGATTAATAATATAAAGAAACAAATTCCAAACATAAATATACTTACTATCACACCAAAAGTATCTTCCAATGATATATAATATTTAACTGGAATCAATCAAACAGATAACCATGAAGAAAATATACTAGACAAATATTTTTTAACAAATAATACAATACATTTGATAATGATTTAAAATATATTTATATAATATAACTCTCCTCCCTCGAGTTTCCTGTTGAGCGCTTCTTTGGTATTGCTAACAAGTTCTAGTGGAGAGGTGTGGTTTTTTAAGATTCAAATTAAGAACATTTGCTACCGTTAAAAGCAAATAAAAGATTATAAATTTTGATAAACCATTTTCTATAATTTAAATATAGATAAAAAATGATTTTGTTTTACTTTTACTAAATATCGGAGATCAGTAGAGGTATCATTTGCGTGACCTAGTCCAGATTTTTTATAAAAACCTTTTTTTAGCCCGGCCTGGGTTTTATATTTTCAGGCCCGGCCCCTTGGATTTTTTTAAAAATATATTACATTTACTCTTAATTTTTATATAAAACCTGGCCCGGGTATAAAAATTTTTTATAGACCCGAGCTTAAAATACGGACCGGCCAATGTACCCAGGCTGGGCATAAAGAAGGTCTCATATAAATTGAATAAAATGAATTATATGAATAATACAAAATTGAAAAAATTTGGAATGGGAGCTAGTTCTTTTTCAAACGGTATGTATGAACGAGAACAGGAGCTAGCTCCTTTTAAAATTTTTATTGTTTAAATACTAATCGACTTTATTATTTTATTTACGTATCCAAAAAGTTAAAGTAGGATATAGATAAGTTTATAATGGATCGCCTTTATAAATTTAATCTTTTTTTCAATGTTTCATAAATATTATAGGTTGTAAAGAAAGGGGGTTCAAATTTTAATCTATTTGAAAATCGAATTCAAAATATAGATATTTGTGTTTTTCTTTTTATATAAGGAAACGAACTTTAGTTGCTAGACATAGAGCAATGACATATATAATACCTAGACTGACGATTCATTTATTAAATGTGTACATCAATGCAAATCAGCTGGAGACGCCATCTTGGTTACACTAATCATTATAAAAATTTTAAACGAGAGCCTAATTTATTCCTAAATCTGATGCAAACTTTATTAAAGAATTACCGGATCATCGAGATAACAAGGAAGCAAGTTTTCAATTTAATAGTAGTTTTTAACATGAGAATAATTACTATATGTGTTATCAAAATGGCGAGTCCAGCTGATTTGCTTTTAACGATGATAAAAATGCATTTTAATTAATGAATGAATCGTCAGTCTAGGTATTATATATGTTATTGATATAGAGATAGGCCTGAGTTTCTAAATTAAAGACATGTATCTTGAAAACCATCCTCTTTTAATCTTATTAACAAGAAAGTTCATTAGAAATAATTTTAAAACTTAATATTTTAATTTAATCATATTCCTTTCCTCGCCCTCCCCTACCCAATTCCCATTTTTTTTAAAAATTTATATCATACTGAGGTAAAGCTATACTTTATTTAAAGAGCTACTGAATATATACTATATGAATATGATAAATAATTTATAAGAGACTATTAAAGTGATTTTAACATGATAATATAATTGAAAATGAGTAACATAATTAATCTCTCTTGTTAGATATAGAAAATTGATATTAAATAACTAAATGTAATGTATATTAAATATTATTATCTAAAATAATTGTTTAATTTTTATAATATATTAAATTTGTATAATTTAAAAAGTTATATTATAACATTATATGAGTATCATTTTTCTTAAAAATATATTTGAAAATTTCAAAGAAGGTTTAAATCTGTTTATGATTTATAAGTTTTGGGCTAGAAAAAGAAGATTTACCCACTTTAAATATACCTTTATGACTAGTAATTTTTAGGCCGATTTTTGGTGCTTTTGGATTTACCAGATTTCTTAACCCTTCTGGCTTTGTTATAGGAACGTTTGCCGTCATTTGAAACCAACTCTTGATAAACAGTTATTTTCTTGTCACTCTTAGGACCCCCTTTTATCATTTTTCTCTTTATCACTCCCCGTGATTTGATTCTTTTTTTAGTCATTTTATCCTCGCGGATGTCTTGATTTTTACTTAGGAGATGTTTGGTTTTTTCTTTTGCAGGACCAATAGAATCATTTTTAACCCTCAAATCGTAAGAATTCATTTCGACGTTATTCTCGTGTACCGTTCTTTTGTTATTATTAGAAACGCTCTTAACTCGAGCCTCAGATTCTTCCAAAGTCATATCAATACTGTTTCTCCTTCTTTTATCACCATTATATCCGCTGTTAAAACTATGATCTAAATTTTTCTCCTTCTTTAAATTTTTTTTGCTATTAACTGAAGATTGTTTGTTTGAATAAGTATATTTCCTATGGTCTATTTTTTTCCCCATACTTGATATTTTTGTGTAGTTTTTATTCTTATTGATAACTTTGTTCTGATTTTCCTTTTCATTTTGAGTTTCGTCAATTTGTTCAGATTCATTAGAGGATAATAATTGTTCTCTTCCTGAAACATTCGTGATGTTTTTGTTCTTACGATAGTACTTATTGTTAGTTTGGCTCCTACTATTAGATTGATTTTTCCCATCATATTTTATTCTTCGGCCTATCTTTTTGCTGATATTTTCCTTTTTACTGTCATCGTATTCACTGGAAGACAAATCTTGGTTAGATTGGCTGCTCGATTCTTTCTTCGCCACTTCATTCTCGCTATAAGAACTATCGTGACTACCTTCTTCAATATATTCGTAAATTTTGGTGTGATCGGTGCTTTGAAGGCCAACCGGTTCTACATTTTTATTTCTTTGTCCTGCATTATTTTTTCCTTTACCGTTTGAAACCTTGTCATCAATATCTTTCTGTCCGTCGTAATTTGCGTTAGTTTGTAGGCGATTGCGGGAATATTGTAAAGTTAATTTGTCATTAAATTTCTTATTTTCTTTATTGGAGCTTTTATAGAGGGTCTTGGGTGTTTGATCGTATTTAGCTCTTTTTTTCTTGTAATTAGTCTTTTTATTCATATTAGCTTGATTAATTGCATCGTCTTCACCATCTTTGTCATATATAGAAAAATTATAATGTTCGATCTTAGTGCCGGTTGGTAGAGCAATTTTAACTTTAATTAAATGTAAAAGAATAATTAGTTTCTCAAATAATCGCTGCAATTATTAAATTTAAGGGAGAAAAAGCAATCAATTTTAATTTATTTAGATAAAAACAACTAAACTTCTTTAAAATAATAAAGTATAAATATTTTACTTCAAATAAAGGTACTTTTAATCATCTGGGGGGTATAGGGTATTTAAATGGGAGGACAATATTAGTTTTCACTTTTGTAGTTATGCCATGGGGAGTGGCATCTGGGGTTTAACCAAAGAAAATTTTGCGATTTTTAAAACATGAGTACTATTGTGCATTACAAGTATTTTAATAAAAAAATGAGCTAATATTACATTAGTTTATAGGGTTTTCCATTAAAGCAAGGAAGGGCCCACATCATTTTTAACCTTTTTGATTTTCTTATAATTATATTTGTTTTTAATCATTTAAAAAAATATAAATACCAAGCAGAAGTATGGGTCTAGTGTAGATCATTTGAAAACCCAAACAACTGATTTAAAAAAATGTTAGGGAATACTTTATTATAAAAGATGAAAGAAAAATATCACTTGAACAATGGTTCATAAAGTTTAGAGCTGCACCGATATTAAATATCGATATCAAATCGGCACCTATATTAGACTTTTGAAAAAATACCGGATCAACCGATATTTTTCAAAAATTCGGAAAAAATTCTTAAATCCAAAAATAAAAATCATGCAATTGCATAATAATACAAAATTTAACCAATTTAAAATGTATTTATTTCTTTTTACATATAATTAAACATTATTTTTTTATAAAATAAATAAATGATGATTATTTAATATCGTTAAAATTTGCCATATTGAGATTTTTATTCGCATTTTTGTATTTTTTTCCAGATTTTTCTAAAAGTATAACACATTATTTTTATAAATAATGCATTCTATTTTTAATAATTAAATTATTTATAATAGGTTTCAATGAATACCTTTAGACAGAATGCAACTGATGAAGGTTGTACTTAGTTATTATTTTATAGATTTAAATCTGCCAATTTTTGAAATTGGGATAATTTTTTTAGCTATAAATATGCTAATGGGGATGAACAAAAATACCAGTCTAGAAAGATTATTGGAGCATAATTCCCGATTTCTGAATCAATAAATAGCCAAACTAATAAATTGGTTTGAATGGCTGTTTATCTATATCCATGTAAACGACAATAATACTTTGGCTCCTCAAAGCGAATTTTCTGATTTCGATAAACTTTACAAAGTCCAACCATATGACTATGAAAAACTTTAGAAGAGCTGGTATGCTGATGAAGGGGGGGGGGTATTTTAAACCCATATGCCACTAAGGTTATAAAAATATATAAAACATTAAATTGAATATTAGAACACTATTCTGTTCCGTACGTTTATATCAGTCTGAATCCCGGACAAAAATAACAAAATGGATTAATACTATTGATTTTAAAAATTGCATCTGATTATTTTTCAAAAAAAGTGTCTATACAAATGCTGACTACAAGAGCTTATTTTAAATATGGTTGAAGATTTTAAACCAAAAACTACTTTCAAATAATTAAACGTTACCAAAAAATATACTATTTATTCTAAAAAATATTCATATTTATTTTCATAAATATTATAATTTTAAATATATTCAATTCATTTAAAAACACGCAGGAGAGAGACTATAATCTTAAAATAGAAACTAATTTTATTTGAAAAATTTCCAACTCCGGAAATATTATTATAAATTCCTAGTTTGTTTCTTGATATTATTATAAGTAAAGTTATATTCAAATAAATTTATATATTTGGGTGGTATATTGTTAGTAATTTAGAATCAAACGATTTTTATTTTGTTTTTTATTACATTTTATAAAATTTACTTTTACCATTTTAAATATTTTTGATAATTTTTATAAATTTATTTTTTTATGTTTGTTCTTCCGTTAAATAAGCACGCCAAAATTTTTTATGAAGGCTATTCCTACAATTATCATAAAACTACTATAAATTAAAGATACAAATGTACATTATATAATGCTGAAAAATGTCGTCATTTTGAAATATTAGTGAAAATAATTATTCATTGAGATATATGCCTCATATTAATCCTATAAACCCACATGAATATAAAATTGAACATGCTATAAACACTATGAAAATAAAAGCCTCTGAAACAAATCAAGCCAAATATACGCAGAAGAAATGTCTAAATTGTCTCCCGAATCCAGAAAAAGGCTTCCGAATGAGGATAGTATCAAGCATACACTTAGAAATCACCAAATAAAAAGGCTTCCTCCTATTCCGACTACATTGAAAGAGTTAAGTATTTCAGGTTAAATCATATTTAAGTCATTATTTTTTTGAAAATATCTTTTAATATTAGAGGATTGAGATACAACGGGATTTCCCACGAACGAGAGATTTCTTTTGCATGATAATGGCAGATGCAGATGAATGAATAATTATATTCGCTACCGATTATATGCTCAAGATGTTAGCCGAAATCAAGTCTTGGAATATAGACGGGGATTTCAAATTGGCACCTCATTTATATTTGCATATGTAATTAAAATACCCTTTAAAACGTTATTTGTTACAGCGGCATACTTTTTGCTACAAAGAAAAATGTATAAAAATTAAGAAGTTTATAAGATTTTACTTGAAAAAGCTTAAGAACGCAATTTAGTGATAGACCATTTATATGGATTTTGAAAAGGCTTCAATCAAAGCCGTTGAAAATATTCTAGGTTTCTTTTAATGATTTAATTATATTATATATTTGTTGTAGACAGGCGCGTATGCAGAAATTTGGTCTGGGGAGGGGGGATAATAAATTTTTTTAAGAAATATTATTGTTTTTTAAAAATATCAAGCATAAATTTATTAGGACTAATAACTATTCCTAATACACAATTTTAAATTAATGTGAATTATAAAAAAATTATATGTAAAGAATCACTTAAATGACCCAAAATTGAAATTTGAATTTTTTGAGCCTTTACATAAAAAGTTTCTTAGGAATAATTGTATTTTGTATGTTATATATTTACAATGTAAAATCCAATCTTCGTTGGGATTGAGCTAATTTTTCAATTATCTCATCCTTGCTTGTCGTCAAATGCCTGTGAATATTCAAAAGATCCAAACCTTTCAAACTACTTTCACATGTTGTACTTCTTGGTATGTTTTTCAGAGACCTGAGTATTTTAATTTTTTTAAATATACTCGGGCCGGGCCCGAAATTTTTAAAAAAACACCCAAGCCGGGCCTGAATTATTTAAAAAAAACACCCAAGCCGGGCCTGAATTATTTAAAAAAAACACCCAGGCCGGGGTGTATTTTTTAAAACAGCCTATATTTGAAATTGTTATTATTAGCTATAAAAATCATAAATAAATATAATTTATTTTAAAAAAATCCGAGCCGGGCCTGAAAATTTTATTTAAAAATAGCCAGGCTGAGCCTGAAAATTTAAAAAAAAAGCCGAGCCGGGCCTTAAAAATTTTCTTAAAAAAGGCCGGGCCTGAAAATTAAAAAAAAACCCAGGCCGATGTTTTTGAAAAGTAATACTTAAAATAGTTGTATAATTAAATAATACATTCTAATGAGAAATAAAATTTGTAATAAGCATTGAATCCAATAATTTTCTTGCTTCTGAGGAAATATTTCATTGTGATATTTCAGTAATAGCAAATAATTGGCTCTTCTAACTCCTTAAAAGCTGTTACTGCTTGATGTCAGAGACTCTATCTTGTTTGACAAGGTGCAATCTCTTTTTCTCTGTTGGACAAGAAGTTTCAGAAATAATTATTATTTGACTAGAAATTTGAAAATGGTAGATACATATTACGCCACTAAAAATTTGAAAATAATAAGTAAATATTACGTCGGAAAACTTGAAATCGAAATTAATTGATAAAATAACTTAGTAGATAAATGTGATAATAAATATAATTAAATATATATTTAATATGAGATACGAATAAATATTAACAAATAAAAATTAATATAAACAATAATATTTTTGAAAAATATATCTGGCATCTGCATTTTTTGGCTTTGGAGAGGGGGGGGGAGAAGGGGGGTTTGCCCCCCCCCCGCTGCGTACGCCAATGGTTGTAGATAATAATAATATATGTAAATAATATATTTACAAGATAAACACATTAAAAATTTACCACATATAAAATTTTTTCTTTAATCATCCGGTTGCAATAATTTTATTTCTTTCATTAATTTTAATGAACCCTACTGAACTTCCCCTTATAGATTGTGGAGTATGTTATGTAAAAATTATTGTGATTCCGAAATCAGTGAAAGGTTTCGAGAGGAAAAATAAAGCATTTAATACTGGAAGAAAATGTTTTCGGTGTCTGACCACTTGATGGCAGAATGTAAAATGCCAGCATATTTGTTAAAAAAAGTGTAAATCCAAATTCTATCGCGAGGAATTGGATGGTATAAGTCAACCTAGCTGCTCAAGTAATTATAATGCGAAGATAAAAAAAGAAAAGTTGGGACTGATTAATTATAACAAGATGAACGAATTAGATTCCAGGATGAAGTACTATGGCAATCGAGTGTGGCCACCAAGGACTTATCAAGGGAATATTCAACAATCAAGCGGCCGATTAGTGAACTCCATGAAAAAATCTATAAAAAAGGTGTTCCGGATTCCGCAAGTGAATGCAATACAAGATACTCTAGGAGACTTGGTATGTATAATTAAAGGCCAGATCAAAGAGGGGGAAGAATATACAGACGCGGAGATGGAAGAAATAAAATTGTCGAAACGGAATGATTAAAGAAAAAATTTTATATGTGGTAAATTTTTAATGTGTTTATTTTGTAAATATATTAATATTGTCTATGTGAGGACTTGATTATAGAATGTATTTTGGACCAGTGGATCTTGAAATTTTTTAAATTTCGTATTTTCCTTTTCCTGATGTTTATAGGAATTATTTTCGAGTATATTGTTGTAAATCGACAGTCGAAAACTGAGCCAAGTTTGGGGTCAAAAAAAATTCACACAAAATTACTTGAGTCATGAATATGAGTCGACTAGAGGACGAATATTTGGTTTTTATTAATTAACAAAACAATTATTTCCTACTTTAGACTTTCAAGAATCGTGAATATGAATTATATAATTTATTCTGTTTCTAATATTCTTTTACTTTCAACATGAGGCGTGAATACGAATTATATACCTGAGTTTAATAGAGGACGAATAGTTCATATGAACTCAAGTCGTCAAGTTGAGTCAACTAGAGGACGAGTATCAAATTAGTCATTACAAATTAAGATATTTGTTCTGTTTAATTTAAGACTTTCAACTTGAGGAGTAAATAGGAATTATAAATTTGAGTCGACTAGAGGACGAATATTTCAAATTAGTCATTATTAATTAAGATATTTTTCCTGTTTTTTATATTTTCTTACTTTTAATAAAATGATCACAAATGGCAGCAGAGCAGGTGAATAAATTTGCAATAAATCACATCACATTAAATTTAATAATCGTGCGCTAACGTAGAATAATGTTTTTTGTTTAAAAAAGAACCATCATATTTAAAAAAATTATAAGCGTTTTTAGCTATTTGGATTGAAGGGGAGGGGGGAGGCACTATGTTTTTGAAAAAAGACATGACTTTTAAAAAAACTGTTTAAGCAGGGATTCAAAAAACCTGGATAAAATTTTTGTTGAGTTAGCATCCCTGTGTTTAAGTAATTAAATATAAATTTTATTTGTAAAATAGTAAGCTATCTAAATTAATTTTGATATAAAATTATCCCAATAAAAGTCAAAAATAAAGCCAAGGTTTGTTTGAACATTCTAGAACTCTGGTTCATCGAAAAAGTGAGCATTTAAATAATACATAGCCACTGTTGAAAGATGTTTAATTAAATAATAAATATGAGTGTCAAGAAATTAAAACCAATTTTGTGTTATTCAAAATTAATAAAAACAATATTCAATAAAACCTACAATTAATTTAATCTATTTATTTTCCACTTTTAGGTAGAGACACCATCCAAGGATGTTTCTATCATCTAACTCAATCTACCCATAAGAAGATTCAAGAATTAGGATTAGAATCAACATATCGTAATGATCCATCGTTGTTTATTTGCAGCAATGATCGACGAGTTAGTATTTGGAATATTTAAAGACAATTGCATCGAATGAAAACAGAGAATTATTGTTATATTTTGATAAAAATTCTGTGAATGGAGAGTTAAGAAATGGGAGAAACTGGCAAAGACAAAAAGATCCATTGTTTCCACCAGAAACATGGAATATATTCAATGGTACAATTGCTGGGGAAAATCGAACAAATAATGTATGTGAAGGGTGGAATAGTCGATTTCAGCATATTATAGGTCACAAAAAGCCTAAGATATAGGAACTAATTGAAAAGATGAGGATGAAAATAGCCGTCGACATGGGTAAAATCGGTCAATGGAGTATTGAAGCTACACTCCCAAAAAAAATCGTAGTTATGCCACAAAACAAAATATTTTGAAAAATTTATGTATTGATTTTTTAGAAGAGAAAAGGGACTTACCTAATTTTCTCTCTTCAATTGGAGAACATTGTTTCATTTGAATAATGACTTCTATTGTTTCATATATCATTTTATTAAAATAAAAATATAATTATTTCTTTTCTGTAAATTTTAAAAAAAATTCATAAGCAAAATAATAATTATAAGATTTGAAATATATAATAATCAGTGCTGATAATCACCTCTGAAATATATGTTTTTTTTTATTAAAATGGTCAGTATTTTTTATTACTTTTGTCAGTATTTAATTTAAATTGGGCAGTAAAAAAAAATAATTTAAGCAAGTTTTTTATTAATTTTTTATTCAGCCAGTTAAATTTTTATAGTAGACATTAAATACTTAAGTAAAATAATTTTTATCAAATAGAAGACTTGAATTGCTAATTTCCTATTTCGCCACTGAATAGCATTAAAAACATAAAAGGGTGCTATTTGAGAGTTAGTAAAAGTCATGCTATTATTTTCGCCAATTAATGACAAATATCAAGTTTGTGACATAAAACATAATATATTAAAACATAAAAGGGCGCTATTTGAGAGTTAGTAAAAGTCATGCTATTATTTTCGCCAACTAACGACAAATATCAAGTTCGTGACATAGTACATAATATATTTTATATTCCAAAAATTATCAACAAAGATTATTTAAATTTTTAAAATATTTCTAAAAACTTCATAGAAATGATTAATTTATGTAAATTAAATATTTTTTTAGATTTAATTAAAGTAGTGCAGGTCCGGTTCAAAAAATGGTATGAATTTATAAATCCGGGCTAAAATAAGAAATCTGGGCCGGCCTTACTTAGATTATAATAATATTTAGATTAATATCACATAGACTAGGTATCCAATTCGTTTATTTTACAAATATTGTTTTGTTTAATTTTTACCAAACCCCATTATACATTATATTGGTTAGGATTAATTAATAATAATTTAAAAATTTGATTAGGTTTGATATTAATCACTAGTTAATATTTATAATTTTGTTTAACAATTTTATCTGGTAAATTTTTATTTGGAAAAATTTTATAGGAATTTTTTTAATTATATATTACAAATTTTATTATTAATATATAATTTTTCAATTTTTATATGATTCTCTTTCATATCCATATAGTCATTGCAATCCACTCAAAGATTGAAAGATATTTTATTTGGAGATTGGAGATTTTTTTCCCTATTTTTGTTAATTATCTAAAAATAATTTTATATTTTATAAGGATCAAAAAATAGGCGAATTATTTTCTGTGGGATTTTTTTTCTGGATAATTTTTTCCCCAGGAATTATTTTCCTAGATTCGGCTAAGTGGGCAAATCGGAAATAAAATTCCTAAAAAAAGATGATGAAAATGTGCAAAGCCTTCTCCCGACCTCCAAAAATTTCGTCAGGCTGATGGGAAAAAAATGTTTTATAAATTTGATTTTAAAAAATCTATTGTTTAAAAAAAATGAGGGAGTTTTCAAAAAAGCCGGGCCAGAGTAAAAAAAAAATTTTGTTTATTTTTCTCCCTATCGGTTTTGAAATTTTTATACCAATCTGTTTATAAATAAATAAATTTTAATCTATGAAAGTTAATTGTCATTTATGACCGGTTAAAATTTAAAATATCGGCCGATACTGATACTGGGTGGGTACATCTCTGATAAAATAACTCATGATTTAAGAGTTTAACCATATAAAAAATTTGGAGTGGGCTAAGGATTCGAAAAAAGCCTTCAATCTATAAATCCCCCAAAAATAGGAACAATGGAATATGAGTGAGTATATGGTGTACACAAACATGTGTTTGTTTGTTTGGTCATTAGATTAGATTACTATAAACTTCTCCCAGCAAAGAATATACCTAATTATCGTTTTAATAAAATTGCATTCTAATTTATATATTAAACTGAAAAAATATTAAATTATTAATTATTCAAAATGCATATGTTGAAAAACTTATTTAGTTTAAATAACTACATCAAAAAAATAAATGACACCTTTTTTCACAATCACTCATGAAATAAGACAAACATATCAGTTATATTAGATTTTATTAGTGATAATTTGAGTCGCTTGTAAAATAATTTATTTCGGTTTTATAAAGTGGAAATCTCTCAAATATTAGAACCTTTGGTATTGGTGCTTTCATTTGATTCTTCCTTATCGAATTCCGACTTTAGGGTTTTATCGTATACTTTTCCAGGTTCTGAAATATCACTCGGTTCAAAACTAGTGTCCGTATCATTTGTTGTTTTTCGACGATGACCCTCTTTAGGCGTTGGGTTAAAATATCGTTTTATACCTTGATCACTTGGGTCTAGCTCATGTTTGCTATTTGTTTAGTAAAATCACATTAAAAATTTCAAATGCTAAAACTGAATCTGATTATTTGTTACACAAAATAATTTACTAACGATCTTATTATTTTATATTTTTCGCAAATTCTCACATTTTCTTAGACTTTGCATTCGGCAGAGCGACTGGATAGATATCTTCTTGCCCAACATTTTGCGTGTTATTGACTAAGGCCGAAACGGGATGATAATGCAATTTGCCGCAAGGCTCCACGAGGTGCATAACCTAGAATTTTATGATTCATGCTAATTTAATAAACTTAGCGCAACTGTGTTCGAAATCGAAAATAAATTACTGAATATCTTTTTGGCAATTTAATTATTTTATTACATGGGGTTTTTTTTAAATTAACACTTAGAAAAAGAATGGGCACACTCATCTCTTTATTTAAGTATTCAAATTATTGGTCTTGGGTAATCGCGATTGAATTAATCAAAACTATTTTTAAATATAACTTTCTCGGATGGTATATCGGCGTCTAACCACATCTTAATGTTATCGTCCCCATCTATAATTCCCTGAAAAATAAAAATATTTTTTTACTTTCAAAAATAATATTGGAACTAATTTATTTGTATTTAACCCGAGTGAAAAAATCAAAAGTTCTCAATACTTACAGGCATACGATCGTGTATCCAAGAAACTGATTGATGAGCTGGGACAGTCAATATAGTATAAGAGTACAGTTTCGATTCAGGCTAAGAAAGAAAAAAATAACAATTAACTAGTGAAATTCCAATTAATTACTTTTGAGTATAAATAGAGTCAATCCTTCATAGTCAAGATATTTTTTTTAAAAAGCTATTTGTAAAATTAATAAACTGAATATAAAGCAAATTCATCTAAATTATTTTTATTAAGAGTGCTATTGATAATTTTATAAATGTTTATATAAGATTTGCGTTCTATTTTAAACTTTCTTATATATAATTTTATATCTATTTATTAATATAAAAATTTTATATCTATTTATAAATATAAAAATTTTAACATTTCAGGGATTTAATTTGAAATAAACAAAATAAAATAGACAACATAAACTTACAATAAATCATTTCACCAAAAAATGAGAATCCAGGGTTAAATTATCTTCGTTTTCTCTATTTTTAAATGTTTTTAAGTTAATATCTTGCCAAGATAAGAATTAAAATTAAATTATAATAGAAGCATAATTTAATATTTTATTCTGTTAATTTGGCAGATAGAATTATTAATTAATTACCTTATTTTTTGCTCTCCTATTTCTTTTAGTATGATATATTTTTTTATACGGAAATTAACCAAAAAAATGTAATTAAACTGACAAATATGGTTTTATTATAGTAATCGAAAATTTTCTATTTAATAGTAAAAAAAATGGCGTATACTATTTTAAGAAAATTACTTCTTCACAGTGTATATCAAATAAACCAGCCATGGTTAAAAGCTTAGGACAAGACCAAACGTATTCCCGGTCATTTCCAACATTTTTGACTTGCGCTAAATCGTTTGGTAAGATTCCGCATTCGGGAAAATAGAAAAAATAGGGTTGCTTATTTTTCTCATTCGGCTGCTTTTGCCATTCATAATAGCTTTGAACAAATAATGGTTGATTAATAATTTCGAATATTCGTAATAATAAAAATTCGATATAAGGGACTTGTAATCACAGTCTAATGAGTTAAAAGTCGATTAGAAATGTTGCACCCTTAGAAGTGCAATTCAACTCATCTGATAGAATTAAAATGAAGGTGCTTAATATTATATATACTGAAAAATTTGTCTTATAATAGTCACTTAATTAGTGATTTATATTTTATTTAGCCTTATATAAATGCATTTAATTGATATAGAATTGTTGGGCTCAATCTCGGTAATTTAATCTGAGCTTTAAAAACTTGATTATAATTAAATTTACTAAAGTGTAGAAGGCACTATACTCGCAGTCGTAAACATGACTAGGGTCTCCGAGGGTTAGGAGACCCCAATAACAATAAGATATGAAAGTATGTATCATTTAGTTATAAATCTATTTCAAAACTTAAATTTTCATACTTTGTTATTAGATATCTTACCTCTATAAAAAGTACTAATGTGCATCCTATTCTAATAATTATATGTTAATTTGATTAGTATTTTAGCATTGCGTAAAAATTAGGATGGGTTTGGCCATTTTACATATTTCCATACATCGTCCGAAAATTATTTTTCCCTAGTTGTTTTTATAATAAAGGAATAATTTCGTGTAAAAAAATTTCTAACTAAATTTGGAATTATAAAAGGAAATTATTAAAAATTAGAAGTATATAACTTTTTAGTAAATATATAAAATAAATTTATAAAATGTGTCAAGACAAAGATAATTATGTCAGATTAAAATATTAGTGAAATAGATAATATAATCGAAAAGGAATAAGAAACTTTCTAATAAAAAAATGAGAATGACTAAGAAGCAAAAACTCTAAACGTTACATCGGCATCACACTAAGAAGCAAAAATGCTAAACGTTACATCGGCATCACTGGAGGATTGAAAGATTGATCCCTTTCAAAATTTCGAAAATACAAATTTTGAAGCCAAAAAATTTTTTTTTTTGTATAATTTAGATTTTAAACACCGATTTAGTCCAGACATATTGAATAGTCTAATGGCCTTTAAATTAAGGATAATAATGTTTACTTGTTCTACCCTAAACAGTCATGCCTGAAATTATTTTGATTACGATTTTGTTGAAATATTGGCTCAATTAATTTGAATAAAATTATAAAAAATATACAAAGATATTTTTTTATTAATATCATTGATTAGATACAATAGTATAATAGCTAAATGATATAGTGTTAGTGATCATATTTTAGGAAGTAGATTTTAAAAGGGGAGTGCTTCCAACGATATTTCTGTCATGCAGATGATGATGACAACTAATAAAGAAACGAAACGTTAAAGTCATCCTTTTTGATTGATTTTGTTCTTGATGACAAAAATAATGAATTTATTTTTAGCAACATCAATTTTGATAAATTTAAGGACTCAATTGGCTAAAAAAAAATTTGAAAAATATTTAGTATAATTTTTGGAGAGTCAAATGTGTTCTAGCCATAGGCGTATGCAGCGGAGGAGGGCAGGGGGTCAAATCCCCCCCCCCTCCAAAGCCAAAAAATGCAGATGCCGGATATATTTTTCAAAAATATTATTGTTTATATAAATTTATATTTGTTAATATTTATTCGTATCTCATATTAAATATATATTTAATTATAATTATTATCACATTTATCTACTAACTTATTTTATCAATTAATTTCGATTTCAAGTTTTCCGGCGTAATATTTACTTATTATTTTCAAATTTTTAGTGGCGTAATATTTATCTACCATTTTCAAATTTCTAGTCAAATAATAATTATTTCTGAAACTTCTTGTCCAACAGGGAAAAAGAGATTGCAACCTTGTCAAACGAGATAGAGTCTCTGCCATCAAGCAGTAACAGCTTTTAAGGAGTTAGAAGAGCCAATTATTTGCTATTACTGAAATATCACAATGAAATATTTCCTCAGAAGCAAGAAAATTATTGGATTCAATGCTTATTACAAATTTTATTTCTCATTAGAATGTATTATTTATATATACATTACTTTTCAAAAACATGACATTGACTTGAAAGAAGATGAGAATAGCGGAGAGTATTTTATCAGAACTCAAGGAAATTAGGGCTAATATTGATGAAGAATTTTATATTTTATTGTTGAGTCAAAAGCAGAGCTATAAGTGTTTAATATTTGTCTCCCTCAACTTGTAGCAAGGCAAGCTCATCGTTAAAACATTAATATAGGATCATTAAAAGAGTATAACTTAAATACAGATACATTTATAACCCAAATAAATGAATTTATTCATCATGCAGCACTTACTAATCTGCAAATATTACTTCCACAAAAGCCTTCCCAACCTTTTTCAGATAATGATAGAAAAAAAAATATTTGTTAGATTTTTATTATGAGGATGTTAAAGTATCTTATGATGCCTTACTAGCTGAATAACTATGTGTATAAGATCAACTATGGTTGATATATTCCCAAAAAATGCTATGGATGCTCTGCATTATTCCAAACACATTTTTAATTAAACTTTTTTAAGAAGAATAACAGAGGCCTGCAGAAGTACCATTTGCAGGGGCTCGGATTTTTTTAAAAATTTTTTACGGCCCGGCCTGGGTTTCTTTAAAAAATTTTTCAGGCCCGGCTTTTTTAAAAAAACTTTTAGGCCCGACTCGGCTTTTTTAAAAAAATTTTCAGGGTCGGTTCGGCTTTTTTTAAAATAAAATTTTCAGGCCAGGCCCGGATTTTTTAAAAATAAATTATATTTATTTTTGATTTTTATAGCTAATAATAACGATTTCAAATATAGGCTGTTTTAAAAAATACAGCCCGGATTGGGTGTTTTTTTAAAATAATTTAGGCCCGGTTTGGGGCCCGGGTATAAAAAAATTAAAATACTGTCCGGCCAGGGGGCCGGGTCTGCAGGTCTCTGAAGAAGTACAACATCTGAAAGTAGAATGAAAGGTTTGGATATTTTGAATATTCATAGGCATTTGACAACAAGCAAGGATGAGATAATTGAAAAATTAGCTCAATCACAACGAAGATTAGATTTTACATTGTAAATATATAACATACAAAATGCAATTATTCCTAAGAAACTTTTTGTGTAAAGGCTCAAAAAATTCAAATTTCTATTTTGGGTCATTTAAACGATTCTTTACATATAATTTTTTTTATAATTCACATTAATTTAAAATTGTGTATTAGAAATAGTTATTAGTCCTAATAAATTTATGCTTGATATTTTTAAAAAACAATAAAATTTCTTAAAAAATTTTATTATCCCCCCCCCCCCCCGAACCAAATTCCTGCGTACGCGCCTGGTTCTAGCATACCAAAAGTTGCAAAAAATAATTTTAAACTTTATCGTTTAGATTTATTAATAAAGCTTTTAAAATTTTAATAAATTAAATGTGGGAAAGTTTAAACCCTATTTTTTTAATCTGACAATTTTTCAGTATCATAAAACATGAATTAATATGATTGAAAGATATTTATAAAGTTAGTAGGCTAGGTCATGGTTAGTAATAGAATAGTTGGCCCTACAAATTAATATTTATCGATCTAAAATATTACTTTTTAATATTTTAAAATTTTAATAAATTAATTGAGGGAAAGTTTAAACCCTATTTTTTTATTCTGACAATTTTTCAGAATCATAAAACATGAATTAATATGATTGAAAGATATTTATAAAGTTAGTAGGCTAGGTCATGATTAATAGAATAGTTGGCCCTACAATTAATATTTATCGATTTAAATATTAATTTTTAATATAATATACTATAAAAATATCAAAAAAAAATTTCCATTTAGAAGGTTTCCAAAAGTACCCAGAGTATGACATGGTTGGGCCAAAAAAAAATTCAGATTCAATTTTCTAAAAAGCACAGTTTTTATAAAATTTAGCTATTTCAAATTGCATGAATTTATTCAGTTTTAAATGAAAAGTATCCCAACCACCCTTGGTTTCCCCTAATTTATTTTAAATTATTATATATATTGAATTTTGGTAAAAAGTTAAAATTTAAATATTTCTTCTTGTGCATTTATATTTTATCTCGAAAAACGTTAGTAAATTTAGTTTCATTTTTTTACCTTACTGATTAGATATAAGAAAATTTTATCAACCAATCTCTACTAATGACTGTGATTAGGCAAAATTTCTAGTCTGTAAAACGCTCAGATAAGGATTTGCAATACAATTTCTGGATTGTCCCATATGCAATATATGTAAAACTCTTTTTTGAAGTGAGTAAGGAATGATTAATTTGTCATTCCAAAATAAAATACCGTCATCATTTTCTATTTCAACTATTCTTATTCTAAACGCTTGTAATTCTGGTGCTTGATTTTGTGTATTTGTACCATTTATAAATATTTTTGCTCTTCTTAAAATTGGATCTTTTGCGGTTTCCTCTCTAAGGTCTTATCTTGACAGAGTTAATGTGTCATAAGTAAGATTTCTTATATATTTCACTGTTTTATTTTAACTTGCTAATCTATCAATTTTCCTCTATTGGGTTTCGCTAGCGCCATTCTTGTACATTATATTATAATCATATGCAGATAATTTATAAGCCCAACGTAATCATCATTGGTTTGTTAATGAGCTTAAATCTCTGTTATTATCATATATCTTTATAGGTTTGCGGTCTGTTCAAATTTTAGTCCATACAAATAGTTATAAAATTTTTCTACGCCCTTTATGTTTTTGCTTCTTTGTCTGTTGTAGAATAATTTTTTTCAGCTTCCTGTACAGTTTTTGAGGTGTAAGTATTGGAAATTCGTTACTATTACCATATTTTTGCATGAGCACAGCTACAAATCTTTGGTTAGATGCATCTGTTTATAATATTAACTCGAGGTCTGGTTTATAAAACTGTATAGTATTTTGTTCTGTTACTATTCCGAATAGCATGAAACGATTACAAAAATAGCATGGTATTATATTTTGGAATGGCAGATTAATCATTTAATCCTCACTTTAAAAAAGAGTTTTACATATATTGCATATGGGACATCTGGATCTCACTTGAGGAAGAGGATATACTTCAAACGGATATCCTACTTTGGTGGAAACGACAAGAGATTTGCCAAAGCTATCAAGATTAGCAAGAAAAATATAGACAATTCCTGTAACTAGTGCTTCTTCTGCGAGGATTTAGCATTGCTGGAAGGTTTTAAGAACAGTTTTTAGAACAAAGAAGAACGTGTTTAATCCAAGAAATGTCGATTCATTATTATTTTTGCATTATAATTACATATAATATCAATTTTATATTTATTTCATAAATATTCTATTGGATCAAATAAATGGTCCATAATTTAAATTATGTATTTTTTTTATACTTTAAATTATTTTCCTAAATTAAACTTTTTGTAGAGGTGTAATGCTGAAATATTTTTTATTAGATTTAAAAAATTGAAAGAATGGCCATAATTAAATTATAAGCGGACTTGAGTTTATATTTTTTATAAATAATGGGCGGGCGGATAAAAACTTTTGGACTAATGGGCAGACAAGGAATTTTAAACAAATGAGCGGGGCAGGCGGGTATATATTTTTTTGAAAACTATAGGCGGGTTGCGGGTTAAATTTTTTTTAAAACATATTAGGTGGGCGGGCTTTTGGTCCAAAAACCCGCCCAATGCAGACCTCTAAAAAGTATATTAAAAATTAAAACCATTGGTATCTTTACAGAATACAAAATTATATATGATATCGGATCAGTAATCGGCCGATATCAATTTAATATTGGAAATATCGGATCGGCCTCCAAAAAGCGGTATCGGTACACCCATATATATCCAAAATTTTACTTAAAATTTTTAAAGTTTTCTAAATTTTAAAATTTTTGCCAAATTATTTTATACTTCCCATTTTAATAAATAACTTTTAAACAGTAAAATCAGTATAGATTACTTTTTTTTCATAAAAATCCCTAAATTAAAAAAAATTAAGTAACTTTCATAAATTTAAAAAAATTAAGCTCAGGGGTTCAAACTGAACCGAACCGCAAAACCGGAATGAACTATGATTCTCTGAACCGTAACCTTAACCGAACCGTTATAAAGAAAATATTAAAAGAGCGAACCGAACTAAATATTTTGAACCGGTTTAAACCGGTTCAAAACGTTAAAAATAATTAATTTTAAATTATTAACCTAAATTTAAAATTTAATTTTCCTTGGGGGCATTTTTTGAATTGGTGATTTCTTTTCAAATTAAATATTTCTATATAATAACATCTAATAGAAATCAAGTACCTTTTACATTCATTTTTATATTATATGGTTTATTTTTTTATCTCATTATAAAAACTTGGATCATAGAATTTAAATGACAATAAATATAATAGTCAGCAATATTTTAATGATATAATGATGTTAAACTAAATATAAATACTATAGTTTAACTTAAATTACCTATTCTGTCATATTATATTAACATCTAATAGAAATAAAGTACTGACCAATTTTTTAATATCATTTTACAATAATTTCTTATTAATTGATATATTCAAAAAAAGTTTCTTAGTTTATATAGAATATATAAGAGTGGGTAATTTGAATTAAACTATACTAGTTATAGTTTAACATCAAAATGTAATTCCTATTTTTAAATGTAAGTCTATTTAATATAAAACACAAATAAATAAAAGTATAAAATAATTTAATGCAATGTTAGTTAATTTATTTAAACTGAAGATTTATAGTAAGATTTTTATTATTTAAAAATACAGATCATTTCAAATTCCATTCTTTAATCATATTTTTTTTTATTTTGCATATATGATAATGGTAAATGCTAACTAACATATTATTTTAATAATAAATATTAGAATTCTGATTTAAAAAAAAATATGATTTTTATAAATAAAAAATTATATCATTAAAATATTTATTGCTGACCATTTTATTTATTGTCATTTAAATTCTATAATCCAAGTTATTCAAAAAAATAAAAATGAAGGTAAAATTGTTTCTATTAAGCTTTTTTATTTATTCTATTTATATAATAAAAGATTTTCATCTATCATCATATAGCTTTTTAGTTATCTATTGGTTCGGGAAAAGTCAAATCCTGTGCGTTCCTATTTTAAATTAGATATCATAAAAAATCAATCTATTTGTAAAATAGAAGATTGTGGTAAGGTCTTAACTGGGGACCATGCTGCAAATCTTGAACGACATATAGAAAGATTCCACAATAGGGAATTCAAATTATTAAGATAACAAAAGAAAATTTGAAAATATTTATGAAATAAAAAAAAACTAATTTGTCTAATTTATATTTCCTAAATTTAATAAAAATATCTATTAGATTATCATGGATAAATTAAATAAGAAATTATAAACTAAAAAGATTTTTCTCTAAAATTAATATATACATGGTTAATGATTAATTTTTTTTAAAATTAAATTTATAAAAACCAGAACAAACCGAAAAGAACCGTTATAAATTATAAACCGAACCAATATGATTTTTTTTTTAAAAACCGAAATGGAACAAAACCTTTATAAAATTTTAAACTAAAAACCGGACCGAACCGTTATACCAAACGGTTCGAAACCCTGATTAAGCTACTATTTTTAGATTAATGTTACAATTTCTTAATTATAATTTTGATATTTAGATCCCAGCCATAATAACAAAATTGAGATCTGTAATTTTATAACTTAATAATTATCAACCCATTATAAAATTATAATAAACCAAATAAGATATTAATGACAATACATATTTCAGTTATCAATATTTATCAATAAATAAATTGCAAAAAGTACTCTAGCAAAATTAAATGTTAGCATTACCAAAACTATTGACAAACTTTATTTACATAAGCATAATTACTTGCATTTTACTTAAATTTATATTAAATATTTTTGGCATAGGTTTTGTGCTTCTCTTCTAAGATGTAACAAATTTAAATTTTTTCTTTTTATATATTTTAAAATCTTTATTTCCAAATTCAATAATATTAAAAAAGGTTTACAATAAGATAAATTTTTGATTACAAATATTAAAAATATACATACCAAACTATAAAAAATAAAATTAAAATCTCAGGGGACCCCAATGAAGGATTTTACCTTCGCCAGCAGATTTCCCTAGAAATTTGATGGTCTAATTTTTTAAGTATTCACTCTTCTCTTGGATGATATATACCCCCCCCCCCCTTTTTTTAAAACCCATATATTTTTTTATAGTCTTTTTTAATGTCTTCATAGATCATAAATATATTATATATTTCTTTTTTATTATATTTAATTTTTAATATATCCATTTTAATATATATTTTTTAATCCTCTGTAATTTTAATGAAAATCAAAAAATAAAAAGAGAAAATTATTTAAAAAAATAATAATATTTAGGTTAAGTTGGTGGGGATTAATGAGCCATGTATAATTCTTATTTATCTTTTAAAATTTAATTTTAATTCTTGATTAATATACAATCACAATTAGAAAACTCTTTCCAAGCAAAAACTTTACAATGAATTCATAAAAAATTGGTTAGATTAGATATCCCAATTTTAAGATGAATCAATGTTGTAAAAATTTTTCTTTAATTTGGATAGTAAGAATAAAAGAACAAATCAAATGATTTGACTATTTCATTCACAACCGTGGTAACTAACAATTTAAGTGATCAATTTAACAAGGCAATTGTGCTCAATACCTTACTAATTAGTGCATTTACCATAAATAAATAAAATTTACTACATTTTTTAAAAATATAAATTCTGAAAAAATTTATTTTTTTTCTTTCTTTATAAGGTTATAAAGTGTTTAATTATAAATTTTATAAGTATTCAACAGTTAATATTGAAATTTTTATCCCTCTACATAGTATAAGTGTAAAAATATATATTGTACATTTTAAATGCTAGTAAAATGAATTAAAAGTTTAATTTTTTTATTGAATATATTAAAAAATTTATCTTACCCTTCAGCTAAAACTATACATCGATACTTATGCTTAAGTGCATTTTTAAACATGGGTTTCAACATTACCCCTTCTTTTCTACAGTTTATTGTCCTAAGTTTAAAATTGCTTCCCTTTTTAAACCAACTAGGAATTAGAGTCCAATACATGGGAATTATCACTAGTTCAGAATAAGCTTTAATTGGGTCTATATGTTTTGAGTTTATCAATATGGGGCTAAAATAAATTCTTATTATATATAATTATATTTAAAAAACTTGTAAGTTTGTGGGGGTTTATTGTAAGAGGGGGCAAATTTACCTCCATATTCAATATATGTAGGAGATTCTTGCTTGTTATTGGAATTAGTATACGTGCACAATTCACAAATATTTTTTGGATTTTTACCACTGAATATAAAGAATATATGTACTAAATATTATTTAAAATGTTACCAAGCTGTTCTCCCACACATTGGAAATAGAATGGATGATACGATATACTAAATGTGTTTAAAAGAACAATTTTGGTTATTAGGTTAGCAGAATTGTTAAAGTAACGAGCTCTTTTTTGGTAGGTATAGCTAACGTGCTACTTTTTTAAAAATTTATTAGCACGCTCCTTTTTTTTGAAGTGGCTAAGTAGCGCTAAAAATATAATGAATATAACTATTAACATAATATCATAATTAATTATAATTTATATGATTTGTTATTTAATTTTGAAATAATATATTTTCAATTTGTAATTTATATTTTCAATTTGTAATTTATATTTTCAATTTGTAATTTATATTTTCAATTTGTAATTTATATTTTCAATTTGTAATTTATATTTTAATTAATTTGTAATTTATATTTTCAATTTGTAATTTATATTTTCAATTTGTAATTTATATTTTCAATTTATAATTTATATTTCAATTTGTATCATAAACCTAAATCACTAAATTATTAAAATGTCATGGCAAATGATCCAAATGGTTGAAAGTGAGTCAGACGATGATATTAATGAAATGAAAAATAAGTGGGAAGAAAATGTTCTAAATAACATTAATTCAAATTTCCCATTTTCAAAATTTGAAAAATATTCTGAAATTAAATAAAAATACAAATTTATTTGTTTAAAATATAAAAAATATATATCCTCAAATCAATCCAGTAGTTATAACATAAAAAAACAAACCTTAAGATATTGTCATTTTCAAATTCTTATACTATTTATTTTATAAAAATGTTCATGCCAACAGTTTTAAGTTAATAGAAAAACATCTAAATAAATTTCGAATAGGCGACTCTTCCAATTCAATTCAAACCATATTGATTAATAATGCATATGCCAATATTTCTTAAAAACTGGCTGACAGGGATACAAACCAAACCTGAACTGAACCGTTAAACCGCTAAAAACCGGTATTTTTATCGAACCTGAACCGAACCTAAACCGCTAAAAAATTCTGGCCTAACCTGAACCGAACCGCTATAATGTCTCTGAACCGGTTCGAGCCTCATGATTTTATGCTTATAAAACAATATGAAAGTTATTATTAGTATATTAAAAAAATTTCAATTAAATTTAAATTATTTTAAAGATTATCATCATTCACATTTGATTGATAAGTGTCGGCCATAATTTTTATAAACTTTAGTATTTGTCATTTTACAACATTTTTTAAAAATATTTTAAGCTTATAAATTATAATGCTTAGAGAAAAATTAAATCCAAAATATTATTTTAAATGACGCATCAAATCTGATATCATATTGGTCATGCCGGCTATCCAAGTTAGTGTGGAAAGATGCATTTCAACAATTAAATTTTAACTATCTCCTTATAAATGTAATTTGAGTGAGATGAATTTTGAAAATATATTAATTGTGCTGCTTAATAAAAAAAATTTAAGTAAAAAAAAAAGTAAAATATTGTTCATATTAAAATTAATCATTGATATTATTCTTATTTTTATATTTATAAATTAAATATTATAATGTGCAATTAATAAAAATGAAGGTTTTATACATGTGTTTTTTAAATTAATGATAAAATAAAAAAAATATTTTCCCTATACATAATTCTAATGTAGGTTTGGATACAAAAGTGTTCAAACTTAGAGGTTCAAACCGAACAGATATTTAATTTTTTACGAACCGAACCTGAACCTTGAACCGCTATTTTTATCCAAACCAGAACCGAACCGATATTCATTTCGGTTTGAATCCCTGCTGGCTGATAATGTTATTCTTGATTTCATAATTGATACAGCTCATCTAATGTCCTTGGTCTATAATCCATGATATACCATGATAAATAAAACTCACAACAATTTTATGTCGCCAGACATTAATGAATAAGATAATAAATACTTTAAAATGATGATAAATGCTCTAATGCTTAGTCATCAGAGATGCTCATGCCAAAATCTTAATTTGATAGCAACAATAAATTCTGGAGAAGCCCTTAAAAGTATATTTTCAGGGTAAAAAGATCCACTTTTTTATAAATTCCATACTCTATGGAATAAGCAAATCTTCTAAAGGCTCAGACATATTTTATAAAGCATTAGGAAGTTTTATTTACTCCTAACCACACTAGATGGAACTCACCATGCAAAAATTAATAGCATTTTTTCTATGAAAGAAGATTAGTAATGAATTTTCTCTGTGATCATGTTGGAATTCAATATAATAACGATGAAGAAGAGCATACCTTTATAAAGGAGTAGAAGTAATTTTAATTAATAATTATTCAATTTCATAAGGCGGGCAAGCTTTATAGAAATCAATATAGCCACTTATCAATCATTAAATAATGGAGATAATAATTAATAATCATTTTATAGGGGATAGGGGTAAAATTTTTAATATTTTAGGATATGCGATATGTGGATCTTTCCCTGAAATTTTGGAAGGTGAGGATAATATAGAGATGGGGTATTATATTCCCATTTTAAGTATCCTAATTACAAAATTACGAGATTGAATAATCTAATCTTATGCCAGCCCTATTAGACTCTAAGTTAAAAGGCATTGAGAGAAGGTAAATAAAATTAATATTGTTTTAATTTTGACTGAATAATTTATTCTAACCTAAAGTTAAAAGAAAAATTTATAAAATTGATTAAGATATATTTTAAATACACTATTTTTGTAACTTTTAGATTCCCCAACCTATACAATGATGATAATGTATTAGCTGCAATGATTCATCCCATTAACATTATATACGGCAATTCGCAGTTTAGTCATTATAATTTTACATTAATTACCGCAATTCGTAGTTTAATCATTTTAATTTAACATTATATACGGCAATTCGTAGTATAGTCACTTTATTTTAACATTAAATACGGCAATTCGTAGTTTAAATTTAAGATTATATACAGCAATTCGTAGTTTAGTCACTTTATTTTAACATTAAATACGGCAATTCGTAGTTTAGTCATTTTATTTTAACCTTAAATACTACAATTCGTAGTTTAGTCACTTTATTTTAACATTAAATACGGCAATTCGTAGTTTAGTCACTTTATTTTAACATTAAATACGGCAATTCGTAGTTTAGTCATCCTATTTTACAACATTTTATCATAATTTATCATTATATACTGCAATTCGTAGTTTAGTATGGCAATTCGCAATTTACCTGGCAATTCGTAGTTTATAGCAATTCGTATTATAGTCATGACTAGAGAACTGCAAAGTAATTTTTTCGCAACCCGAGCCCGAATTAAAAATTTTTTTTTGTCCGAGCCCGACCCGAGCCCGAGCACACATTTTTTAATCCAACCCGACCCGACCCGAGCCCGACCCGAATAAAATTTTGCAATTTAAGTTTTAATATTATAATAACCAAAAAAAAATTTATGTGTATTTATTCAGTTCAGCCACCTTAAATAAAAGTTTATTTGACGGCCATAATCTATTCAAGATATATATTAAGTTGCATTTTATTAAATTTGTAAAAAATATTATAAAACGATTAATATACAAGCGAATTTAAAAATTATAACGATTATATAATAAGCATCATTTATGCGAATATAGATATGATGTAAAAGTTAATAAATATATAAAAAATATAATGAACATATTATATTATATATTGACCTCATCAATATCATTATCAAAATTATCACAAAGTGAATAATTATGATATATAAATAAAGAGGCGTCCAGTTTATCTGGCTTTAAACGAGTCCTTCTCTCCTCAAAGGCCCTACCAGCAGCTGAAAACGCCCTTTCACTGCTAGCCGACGAAGCAGGGATAGCCAGGAATTTAAGAGCTAAAATACTTAAATTTGGAAACTCATAATGGTTTGTTTTCCACCATTTTAAAATATTACCGTCATCAACACATAATTTCGGATCTAGATATTTTTTTAGCTCGTCAACTTCGGCGCTAGCATCAGAATACGCATTGTCAGCCTCCCATAGAGAGAAGTCCAAAAACGTATCTACCACCTCTGTAGTTTCTTAAGAAAAAAATATTCAATAATAATATTAAGATATATATTTACATTATTATTTTTTAATAATTTTACATATTTGATGATTAATATTTTTTTTGATATATGATATTTTTTTATAAAATTTATGTAATTATCATTATTCAACATTGATTTAATAAAATTTGAATTTTTTGAATTTTATTTAGTGATAATAAAATAATTAAAGGAAGTACTGAAAAAGAAAATTTTATTTCAGTAATTTTAGGAAAATTTGTCTAACTTTTTTTAGGAAGTAAATATTAATCTAAGATTTTGTATTTATTATCTCCAATATTTTTTAAATATATACTCAAAATTTTAGATCTCAATTTTTAATAAGTTTTGAGATATATCTAATCAAAATTTGGGGTAAAATAGACCCCACCTTTGTAGTTAAGGGAGTTTTTTCTACCTTTGTAGTGAAGGGTTAAAACAAATGTTAAAAAAGACAATGTATAGGCTAGATAAATAATAAATAAAACTTACATAAAATATGTCTTATCTTGTAATTTACGAGAAACACAATTTAGTAATAAAATAGTTTGGTATCCGGTTGTTAGGTTTATAAAATAATAATTAATAATGACATGACATGTTAATATGATTGACATTTTAATCCTAAAATGTGATAAATATTAAATAATATGATTTTATAATTAATATTATAAATTATACTAACTATTTAAGATATTAATATTATTATATATATTTTCGGGTCGGGTCGGGTTTTCGGGTCGGACAGCTTTTACAACCCGACCCGAGCCCGAACCCGAGAAATTTTTTTTTGATGTCCGAACCAGCAGCCCGTGCAGTTCTCTAGTCATGACCCCTACTTTATCACTTAACGATCATCACCTAATATATCTTTATAATTCTCCAAATAAATGCGCATGCCTCCAAATAAAATGTAACATTAAGATAAATTGATAATAAATGATGTGTATTTGATAAATATATAACGAATATCTTTCATAAAAATAAAAAAATTATTAAAACGGAAGTCATAGATAAATATAAGGATAATGACTATAATAATTATAAATTCAATATGATTTCCAGAAAAAATTACATAGTGTTTCTTGAATATAATATAAGAATTTAATTATACAGGACTATCTTAATAAATTACTGTATATTTAGATATTCATGAATATGTCGCTTATAAGATGCTCTTGTAGATTGGTAAGTTTTCGTCATCTAATAAAACTTTATCAAAGTCATCTGATATTTAGAATATAAATTCAATTAATAATCATGCTGTTATGCAATAAATATTTTTATATCACTCGCAATCCAATCCAATGGATAATAATAAAATCTTTTTTCATTTTTATAATCTAATATACGCTGATTGACTTTTTTATTCTTCACTTTTATATCTAATAACAAAATAATATTTTATATAGGGCCATTCCATGTCAAATCGATCAAAAAAAACACATTTTCGGCATCCATTTAATTCTTAAGAATTTCTGGAATTATTTAGATAGGTCAATGAATGAGAAAGCCTTTTATTTTAGGTCGCTAGTGTCGTATTTGTAAATACGTACATTTTATATTTTTTTTTACGCGAAATGCCAATCAACCGATTAAAATAAGGTTGATTGGATAAAGAAATTAGATATAATAATATATGTTGATATTATTTTTTTTGATGAATTAATTAATTTTTATAAAAATTACGGATATTTTTTTTATAAAGAAATGAATTTTCTTTTGAATAAAATTGTTGGATTTATATTGTAGTTTTATTTGTCTTTTGATTTGATAATTTCCTATAATTCTTGACGATTCGTTTTTTAGAAAGTTTGGATAAGTTTCTAGGATTTGTTTGGGTAGATTTTAGATTTGCTTTAGTTTGTGTTTGTAGGTTTTTTTTAGCTAGCACACCTGGTTCCCGAGATATAGAAGCTCAAAGATGCAAAAAAGAGCCACTTGGGAATCTGTAAAATATTTAAAATACTTATATCTCAAAAACTATTTATAGTAAAAAAGTATATAATATATCAAATTGTAGGTAAAAAGAATCTCTAAAGGGCTATCAAAAAACACTAAAGATTGGGGCCAATTTGAGCCGTTAACCTTTGGTATACCTATTTTGCTTTACCTATGTTTTTAAGCAAAATGCTAAGAATATATACGATGTCAAAACCTTAGCGACGCTATCGACTCTTCCAAAATATACATTTTTATTAAAAATTAATGGTTAAAAATAATATTCCTAAGGAAAATTAAAATATTGCTACGATGTGATAAAAACTTACAGTTCTGCCCCCACAAGTTTTACATTTTTTAGATCTCTACTTTGATACTACAACGAATTATTGACTCGATAATGTATAACAGCTTCATTAAAAAAGAATATTTTATTAGACATATCGATTATATTTTATGAGCATATTTTTTACAAATAAACTTTAAAAAGATCTCTTTTTACATAATATTTTTAACTTGCCCGTTCAGATTAATTTTAAACAATTGTCTGTCTACCAAAACAGGATTTGGAGAGTGAAACTTATATTCTAGGTGCAGATCATTTTATTCTATACAATAGATGGACGTACCAAATGTTAAAATATCAAAATGTTGCAACCCATTTAATCTAAAATATTTACCAATCAATTTTTGTTTCTATATTAAGAATGAAAAGATTCAAGTTCAAAAATGATTAATTTTAATTAATTTACGAGAACTATATCTTAAATTTAAAGATATTCATTTAAATTGGATTCTCTAAATTTTGTGATCTTCGTCCCGATAATTGTGTAAGTAACGTTACCCATTTAATATGTGTTTGCTCCATTCATCAAAACACAAAATTAATACTGATGAGTTTGCCCAAAATTACTTCTACTTTTCAGATGGAGCAGCAGCAAAATATAAAAATCGCAAAAATTTAATCAAGTGATTTCAAGATAAAAGGTATTTCTGGGCCACATCTCAAAGCTTTAATTATTATTTAGTAATATATTGTATACATTTTTATGGGAGAGGGGGGGGGGGGTTGTGTATAGGTGAGAAATTTTTATTAGCTTAAAAATGTTTTATATGAGAACAGGCAAATTTCCGAAGGAATTTTCCCTTGTACTCCTCTCGAGCTACGTCCATGATTTACTATATTATTTATAGATATTATTTATTTTGAAATGACTTATATATAATTATACATATTTAAAATAAAAATAAAGATGTGTAATCATAACATGAAATAAAAAATACAAATTTTAATGCCAGAACTGGCCTATAAAAATCAGATTAGTTAAACCCTGCCTGAATTGTGTCCGGCGCGGACCGAAATTTTTAGTGCACAAATAGCCTGAAAAAATTTTCTCATATAATTTCACACCGAATTTAATTTTAAATGATTTATTTCATTTTTTTTGTTAGAAACATGATTTTATTTGTCAATAATTATATATATAAAAAATTAGGGTGCAATGTATTTTCACAAAACAATTCGGAATTATGATAAAAAATAATATTTTAAGAAATATACAAATACATTAAATACGAACGTTATCAAAAAAAATCAACGATTATTTTTTTTTACTTTTTAATATATATATAAGTAAATAACAAAATTTTCTGTCTTCTAATAATAAAGCGTACACTTGGAAAATAAATCATAAATTAAGTCAATATGTATGAATGAAAAAGCTAAAAAAATAAATAATACTACAATGTGGCAGGAGATTGGTTGTTACAGAGAAAATGATTAAATATAATATACTCTAAGAAATGGTAACAATTTTTAAAAATTAAATTGAGTATTATTGTTTGTCAGCTGTAATAATAATTTTACTTCTACAAATTCTAGGATATTAAACAAAGATTTGGCTCAAGAAATTTATATATAAATCATTTTTCTTTTGATTGTGATAATATGAACGATGCATATAAAAATATAATATTATTGATTCTATTATTTGTTAATACAATATTGAGATATAATACTTTGACATTTGTATGATTTTTTTAAAATTTGATATTATGATATAGTTATTTTGTCATGCAAAATAAATAAATAAAAAATATTACCATAATAAAGTCAAGTTTAATTTTTAAAGTAATAATATATTTAATATAACATAATCGAAATTAGTAGGTTTAATTTGAACTAAGAATACAAAATTTAAAAAAAAATGAAATGGTGAGGTGCTGTTCACAAAGAAAAATGAATAATATTATGACTTAAAAAAAATATTTGGTATTATGTCGAATTAGATGATAAAAGCTCAACTCAAGGAATGTTCAACTAAAAAAGATATTTTTAATTGGTTGAAATATGTTTAAAATTAAACAAGTATCTCTGAAGTAAGGAATAGGATTAAAAATTAAAGATATGGATTGGGATAAAGTTTGAAAGATATGGGTTATGGCTAAAATATATTAAAAAATAGGTTTAAATTAAATTACAACCATTTGTTTATTAATAACCTATAAAATCGGACAAGTCATGTGATTATAAATAGACGAATAGAAATTGAAATAAATCAGCTGTTAAACGGCAATTTCCTCGAGTTGAACCATAATCGAGTTAGATGTACCGAGAATTTGAATTATGCATTTGTAAAATTTGATGCATTCCCCAGTATAGTTTGAACAAATCATCCTGAAAATGTATAACCAAAAAAAATAGTTTATATATTTTGTTATCTAATAAATAAATAAACAGGGATTTGCAGAGGCCGAAATTTTAGACGCTGCCCGGATTTAAAATTTTCAAGCACATCACGAATTTAAAAATTAATTTTTATTTTCAGGCACAGCCTGAAATTGTATTTTTGTTAAATTTAAAATCCATCCCATAATTTTTAAAATTTTATTATTTTGAATAATTTTGAAAATCGTTTGGTAATTTTAAAATATGAGCAGTAAAAATAAATTGAATATTAAACGTTCCATTGTAAGATTTTTCAACACTTTCTCACTAATTAATTGATATAATAAGGACATTATTTTTCGGCCCATTCTAGACCGGGTTCCGGGCCTGCAGGTAAAAAATAAAAATATCTCACAACTTATAAATTTTGTTAAAACTAGTTATTATATAGTGTTTGAAAAGCATTAGATTGAAGTAAAAAAATATCTTTCTGATTTAAATAAATCAACAAGAAATCCCACATAATATGTCGCAAATGCAATATGTGCAATTTTTTTATTACGGTGCTGGTAAATAAATTAATCCTTTTAATGTTGTAATTGTAAGTCAGCTGGAAAAGATCGAATTTACCATCACCTTTCAAATATTCGAGATAGGTTGAAGCAAGCAGACACAGAATCGCAGCTTCTAGTCCACCATATCTAATTAATTTATTTTTTATAAAAATTTTTTTTAATCATATAATTAGAGTTGTCTAACAATAATAAAAAAGGATAATGCTTAGAAAATAAAGTATTAAATTACGGCAAAATCGCTAAACATTAATACTCTTAAAATTTGATAAGAATAAGATATCGAGAACTGTTTTTAAAAGGAAGGTATTAGGCGAATTTGGTTTAATTATGTTGGCTTAAGTTAAATTTACATAACTAGCAGAAGTGATTTGCCACCTTAAATTTTAAAAGGGAATTATAGATAAAGTTATGCAATGGGCGAACTTTTAGCCCGCCTGCTAATTTTTTTAAAACACGGTCTGGCGAATTTAAAATGCCATGGAGGGTTAGATTTATTTAAGATAATAAGCCCGCCCAAAGCAGACTTATAATTAAAGAATTCGATTTTAAGGGGGGGGGTATAAATAGGAAATATATACAATAGTAAATGTTAAACCTATCGATCATAACTATAGGAGCTGGAACAGATCCATCTTCATATTGATTTTTTATTACATTGGTTTGCGATTTATCAAAGGTAATCCTATTATTATGAGATAATTCTTTAGCTAAGGTAGAAACTAGTTTATAAAAATTGCGATTTTCGTTATCGGCAAGCGAAAAAATATAGCCATTGGAAAGATGTTGTTTGCTAGAAGAAAGGTTTTTAGTAAACCAAGATGGCAAATGGCATGAATTGCAAATGTACATTTTAGTAAGGAGCTGGTAATCTTCCTATAAAATTGTATATTGAAAGAAAGGAAAATATAATACAAATGGGAGAGGGGAAGGACTTACATCATCTGACTCCAATGAGAAGTTAACGATAGAAAATAGATCGTCAGCTTTGTTGCATTTATCGGCTATAGAATTATTATTATTTGAAGATCTGGAGATGGAGTCCAGGCAAAATACCTTTATACCCTCGAAACTCAAGTAATTTTCAACTGCAGGCCAGAATGGAAGGTACATCTATTTTTTAAAAAAAAATTTAATTTATCACCATATTTATTGAAAAAAAAGAAATTGAATTTAGTTAAATAATGTTAATGATTACTTATATTAAAATGAGTAGTAAATAGTCAAACAACTCTTTTAAGTTTTCTAATAAGTAGAGGAAGGGCTACTGAACAAAAAAGCCGCCCTAATCAACCCGACCCGAAATTGTCAGATAGATCCAGTCCAAAATTTAATTTATAAATCAATTAGATCAAAGTCCGATTATTTTTATTAATGTTGGAATGGTTTGATATTTCAAAGAAACAGGGTAAAATTATAGGCGCCGAAGTATAATAAACAATTTTGTGGTTATTCTTTAAAATGATATTCATTAAAAATATTAGGAAAACAAAAATAGGTTATTTTACTGAGATCCAACTTTGGGACAAAATAAATATTAAAATCAAGGTCTGAATCCGACCAACCCGAGTTCAGTTGAATCGGACTTGATTTTGATTGGTCCGTAGGGCTCTGTAAACAATCATTCTCGCTCTCATCGGACAAACGTGAAAATTTTGGGGAAACAAAAATCAAAATATGGCTAAATTAGTAAATTTAAACAATATTGACAATTATATATACATCGTGGGCAGTAGAAGAAGTATTATAATCGTTTTCTTGGTGCACTTGAGTCGGATGTTCTTCGTTGGGCGATATGAGAAGGAATATATGAGCAACGTTATTTTCCCAGATCATTCGCCAAAAACTTTGAATGGTATCAAGTGTAGGATGCTGAGTGATCACAAAATCTTTTTGGGAAAAATAACCCTGAAAAATATAAAATAAAAATAGATCAGCATTTAAAACTAGATAGTGCTACATGGAAATAATGTTAATTAGGTGCATCAATCATTCTCTTTTATATGTGCGAAATATTCTTACAGAGAGATCCCTAGATAACATACGTTTAAATAAAACAAAATCAAATATATTATTTATGGAACTTCCAAGTAAGAAGCGTTGATATAGTCCGATCCCTGGAGAGTGGGTTTAGGAGTCAAGTACACTCTCCATATATCGTCAGGCAAGATTACGGTATTATTCATATCGTCACCTAAGGCATGATTTTAATAAAATATACCAATACACCTTTGATTTAAAAAGAGTAAAGAGTAGGGATAGTAAAGGCTAAAAATAAAGAATTTTAAGCTTGCTAATTAATAAAATTACAAATATTTTATTAAGTTACCTTTATCACGTTGGAGTATGTTAAGGTAGGCCCTATTTTTCCTGAGGTTGAACGTATTCAGCCCGCTAACAAAAGTTTGATTGTTTTTGAAGCTCTCATCCGAATTTTTGACACTCATTAAATCAAATTCCCTGTTAGATTCGATCAAGCAAGCTGCTTGATCGACTAACCTTTGACAAAGATTTTTGTCATCATCCGGCTCGCTGAATAGATCCAGCATTTTGTCGAGTTTGCCTTCACTTTTTTGCTGGCTGTATTGGGCTATAATAAAAAGTTGTATATATATTTTATTAATTAACAATTATAAAACATGATATGAGATTTTTAAGTCTAATATTATCTAGACATCTTGATAGGAAAAACAACTTTTGCATCGAACTAAATTAATAAATATAACGAGGAACGGATGTATATGTGCATTGTTGGATTATTTACTTACCTTATAGATAGTTAACATTGTCATTTTAAAAGTGATAGTTAATTTTTTATATGGGAAAAAAATATGAAGACATTAAAATTTGTTAAGTACTGGGAAGTACAATATAATATTTTTGGATCGTTAGTAATATTATTAATATGGATATGTGGTTTAGTTTGAGGCAGGAGAATTAGGAGTTGCAGCGTAAAAATAATGGGGCAGACTTTGACCATCGAGTGCCAAAATGGGGAGGAAGATGTGATGGGAAAGGTAACAAGGTTACAGGTTCGGTAGTTAATTAAGAGGTGGACGGATAATAATGTAAGTAAATCCGTATATGGTTATGATAGGTAGAATTTTAAGAATAATAGAGCGTTGGGGTCGTTTAGAGGGTCAAGGGAAAACTAGCGGATAAGAATAGAAATAAAACAGAATTTTGAGTTTGGAGGGAGGGGGTGATGAATTGTTACAATTGAGGTAAACAGGTCACATGCTCCAAGATTGCCGCAAGACAAATTTTTTTGATTGCCAATGAAACAAGAGAGTGTAAGATGCGGGCTTTGACCGATTTGGTCATAATAAGGAAGAGTGTAATACGAGCAATTACAACAACAAAAGGGGTTTTCCACAGAGAGGGTTGGGACAGAATGCTTCAAATGTGCAGACTATTGAGAGAGAAAATGAAAGAGGTTAGTGTTCCTAATGTAAAAGAAACAGAGTAAAATATGTAAAGTTTTGGATGCCAAAAAGGGGGACATGTGGCAAGGGACTGTGGGAATTTGTGACTATATGATGGCGAATATTGTGTAATACGGATCGAGGGAGTGTTTTCTCAGGAGAAAATAAATAAGAGGGGTTGTGTAAATATGATACAAGAGGAGATGGTATATTATCCTTGTCCCAGAGTGATGATAAATTTAAATGGGAGAATGGTTCTCATATTGTTTGATATAGGAGAAGCTATTTCGGTAATTGGATACGATAGATATCTGAGTACTTGTCCGGGGAGAATGATAGAAAATGAGGGATTAAGAATATAAGACAATTCGATGGGACAAAATTGGCTGTTATGAGAAGGGTAGAAACTGAAGCAATATTGGATAAGAGGGTTGAGGTATTAGATCTATGGATTATCATTCGAAGAGAAGCGGTGTTTGGGACTGGATCATGTAAATTGGTCCATGGTATAGTTTTTAGTAAGCATTTTCATGGTGGGGTATATTTGAACCAATAACTAGTGAGGAATAAGCAGTTCTGGAGGCCGCGAATTGAGACAATGTTGAATTGTGGAGAAATAGGGGGAAATAATTCTAGGAGCGAACTAAGGGGGAATAATTCAAGGAGTGTAATAGGGGGAATTAATTCTAAGAGCGAAATAGGGAAAAAAATTCAAAGAGTGAAATCGGGGGAGGAATTATTTGAGAAAAATAATTCCCGGAGCGAAATAGAGGAGAATAATTTTCAGGGGGATGAATTATAGGAGCGAAAATTATAGAGGGTAAATACGGGTGAATAATTCGAGGGGGGAAATAGGTAAAAATCGCATGGGGGAAATAGGTAAAAATCGCATGGGGGAAATTGGAGTTTTTAAAGAATATCGGGATGTTAAGCAAAGGGAGGAGAAAGGAAAGGCTGAGGAAGGGGACGTATTTCAAGAAAAAGGAGATCAAGGGGTGATAAATAGTGAGACCCATAGCAGTGAAATAGCGTTGCAACTTAATGGAAAAGATGGGGTGAAATTTATTACCAGGGCGCTAGAGGGAGTTCTGAGATTAATACAGAATTATCAGAAAATTTTCAACAAAGATTTGGGGTGTCTAAGGGATTATGAAGTAAATATTAAATTAGGATGGTTGTGTCCCAAAATTTTGTGCGTTACGACAGGTAACGTTTGTATGGAGAAAGGTAGGAATGGAATTGGATCAATGGGTGCAGAAGGACATTGTATTTCCTGAATCAGTGAATAGGCGACTCAGCTGGTTCCCGTAAAATTATTTTGGCTTATTAAAATTATTTTGGATTATAATCTTATCTTATAAAATACTAAGATCATCACTTAGAAAAACAAAATACATGCTAATTAAATTTATAAAGTTAATTTTCCTTATAAAAAAAGCGATATTTTTAAAATAAATTCAATTTAACAAATGATAATGTTTGCCATAATGAAATATTTACAATAAAATATTGGTAGATTATATTTTCCATAAGAATAGTAGTGCTAAAATTTGTTGAAAAAACAACCCTTGTTTTTTACTTGAAAAACGGGTTTTTTAAAAAAAATTTGTAAGTAAATTATGAGACAATATATTTTTTAAGAGAACGAAGTTTGCTTATAAACCTGAATAGAAATTTTTTGCAGAACCGTTTGAAGCAAAATAAGCATTAACGAGATTTTCTATAGCCTTGAAGCTAGTTGCAGTATCACCTAATTTTATTGCAGTGTTAAGGGCATCATGAATGAATATAAATTGTTCCTTTTTTATTTTTTTGTGTATAAATATTTTATATTTTTATACAATGTAATATTATTATAATTTTAAAAATCCCCTGTGACCCTAGTCTTAAAATATATTTTCTTTTGTAAGATAAGTTTAAAAAAATCGAATGATAATGTTTTGAAAATTTTAGAAATATGTTTTGGCTTAATTTTTTATTTTTCTATTTAAAAAAAAGGACCATTTCTTGTTTTTCGATAAAGTTTTAAAAGTTTTTGAATCAAATTTTTATTTATTTGGACATAGCTTTTAAAAGATGAACCTCTTCAAAATGACATAATACAGTTGGGATTCAAAAAAGAACATCTTTGCAGATCAAGTTAATTTATAGTATACCTCGGTTTGAACCAAATGATTTCTCTGGGTCCTAATGCGGGATAAGTAGTTGTAAATGTCCAAACAATTGCTTTGACGCATCTTTTGCAACATGGCGTCTATCACAAAAAAGGTACCAGTTCGACCTACGCCCGCGCTGCAGTGCACCAATATGGTTTTGGGGGGTTTCGCTATGAAGCAACAAACATATATTTGATTAAGCTATTACTCAATTCAAAATAAAAATTATTGGCCCAGAAAATCATTAACTGTTTATTAATTTATTAAATTTATAAATTTTTAATCAAATCCATAATTCATTTTCCTAAAACAAAATGTGACAATTTCATTAATAAATATTGATCCTCTCATATTTAAAATTTAAAAACAAAATCAATCTTATCCTTAACAGTTTTGTCATTTACTTTTATAGAGCATCTTTGATGTAAGTAGGAGGATCAAGATCTCGAGGAAAGCCTAAGATGACATGGATAAAGGAGATAGCGGCCGATATAAGGAAAATGAATCTTACAAATATTGATGCTCAGGACCGTCAAAAACAAGAAAATCAAAGGGGAAACTGGCTAACCTGGAAATCGCCATTAAATGGAGAAGAAGAAGAAAGAAAGTTTAAGGTGGCCCAAGGTAGATAATCAAATCTGTTTTCTTAAATAGGAAGAGTAATGTCTTTAATGCCAGAAATCTGCAAGGGCCTGCTCGTTAAGATTTTTTGCACAAGTTGACCGGGCCATGATTTAAATGTTTATTCGGCCTTTCTAAGTTCGATAAAAAAAATTTTTGTTTTTGCGAAATTAAAATTTTAAGAAAAATCGGGCCAGAAGTAGATGAATTATAATAAAAATATTAAAAAAGCGAAGCAAATTAACATTAATAAAAAAAATTTCTTTCCCTCCTAACTTTAAAAAATAAATTTTGATATGTGGAGGCCAGCCAAAGTTGTAACTGATTACGAGCTATTTAGTTTTGCGCTGTTTTTAAAACCAAATGAAAAGAAATAAACTCATTCTTGTTATTTCAAAGAATATTAATCAAATTTCAAAATCAGATATATGAGGGGCCCGGCCTGATTCTTTATGCATAAATTGTCCAGCCCGGTCCCCTAATTTTTTTATATACGGATTTCTACACCTGGTCCGTTATATATATTTTCTATAAAAATGGCTGGGCTCTACTTACTTTAACACATAGATATCGAATAAATTATTATTATTCCTGTCATATATGAAGGTGACTGATGTAAAGAAAAGATTTCCAAAGGAATTTTTTTTAACGTAAATATTCCTTCATTTTTTGTATACAATTGTTTTGAATATATAATTTTGAAAAAAATATACAATAAAAATATTTGGGCATAGGAATTAGCTATAAAGTAAATGCTAAGTGATATTATTTAAATTTTACTAATTAATTTAATAAATAAATTTCCATAATATTTCAAAAAAAAAATAAAATGAAAGAATAGTAATATCCCAAGTTAAAATATAGATTAATATATCAATATAAAATAATTCTTTGTTTTAATTTTTTGTTAATCAAAAATTTCCATACATCTTTTAAAATTTAATTTAAAACTCGTAACATATTTAATATGTCAAGTAGCTTAGAAACGATGATATATTATTTGGCAGGTTATAAAATTGTTTCTTTTATAAAGAATTTATTCACATTCGTTTCGTATAATTCGAATCGAAATAATGAGTACAAATAATAAAATATTCGTCTAAAAGGAACCGAATATTAAAATATATGATTTGATTTATTTTTTAAACTCTAGTTTTCGAAATATTGGCTCTAGTATAATAGCAGTCAAGGAATCAATTGAAGGAGATTTTTTTTAATTAGAAATATCTAAACGAAAACGTAGGAGGTTATAGAAATTTGGGTTAAGATTTATTAAAGCTTTGAGTGATAGGGAAGGTTAAGATATATTAACAATGGTTTTTAATAAATAGTAAATTGTTTTTATTAACTGATAGGTCATGTGATTACGAATAGAAATTTAAATAAATCATCTGCGCTAATAAGATTTTTTTTAGTTGAGCAATATTCGAATAGTATACCTCCACTGAAGTAAAAAAAAGGAGCAAAACTTTCTTTTACCTTTAAGAGTAAGAACATCATCTTTAAGATTCGATTTTGATATCTCAACTTTATCCTTAATTCTCGAATCCATTTCGATGTTACTCCCATTAAGATTAGAATTCTCATCGGTATTGGAATGACCGCAGAGTCGAATGAAATTTAATAGAGGGAGCGTAAAACGAGGTACCCCGTGATCTGGCCATTCCGTGTAATGATATTGTTTGACTATGATACGGCCGTCGTTGGGGTCGTTTCCTTGAATAGATTCCGCGAGGGATTTAAGATTGGTGGTGTCACCTAGGGAAAAAAAATAAATTTATTAATAAAACAATAAGCGAATAAAAGATTTGGGACCTGATAAAAATTTTTTATTTATTTTTTGGTGGGAGAGGGGGGGGGGTGTGGTAGAATTTCAATTATTTACCTTGAGGATAGGGGAGATTAAAAGAGTTGGAGGAAGATATGACAAAACTGGCTGTGGAGTCACGGGCCGAGTTTTTATCGAAAAAGGCCCTAGGGGCCAGATGATTTTCTCGCAATATGTTAGAATTCGCATTTTTGGAGTTGTTTATATCGAATTTCCCACTCAGTTCTTTATTTTTAACGAAATTTGTATCATCTCCCAGTTTCGCAATTCCTTGTTGGCCATTTGAATTATTTGACTCGTCGACGTGAATCTGCAAGGGAGATGAATTTCGAAGGAGGCACTTTTTGTTACCATCTTCTTCGAAGTGTAAATATTTCGTGCTAACTTCCTCTTCTTTCGAGAAATTTTTATCCAATTTAACATCGTTCGAAGCATTTGTATCGTTGGATATGTCATCTAAGTTCTTGGTAGAAAGTAGTGGAAAAATATCATCGGAAACCCGGCGCCGCCATTTTTTTGTTTTTGGAACACCACTAAGCGTGATTTTTCCAGCGTTAAAGGTCAAATCATATAAGTTTTCGTTGTTATTGGGCAAATCTTTGTTGGATTTCGAATCAGAGTTGTCGTCGGGAATGTTAGATGAGTTCTGTTTACGTGACCCAATATTTTTTATTTCAAAAGTTCTGACAGTGTAAAAAGCCCTTTTCTGAGTGCCCAAATGTTTAACGCTTATGTCTCCGTATACGTCCACCACATTCTCCACGTCTTCGTTAGGCCAATATTTGTCGCATTTAACCTAATTTTTTAATTTAAATTATATAATTTAAACTAGTGCCTTATTATATTGACACCTATAGATCAGCCCCTCTCACACAAGCTGGTAGAATCAAAAGGTTCTTTCTACACTTAAGTAACAACTTGTCTAATTTAAACATGATAATGATTATAAATGTCAGCCTTGATTATATATGAAAGTATATTTAACTTTTTTTGATTTGACCATTTAAGATAATCCTAAATAATTTACTATGACTGACAACATATCCAACTTTAAAAAATATATTAAGAATCTCCAACACTTCAGTTTAGCCTTAAGGATGTGTCCCAGCCCGACTTAATTTGGATACTAAATTGCTTTTTAGTAAAGGCTAAGTAAAAAACTCTTGAGATAGGACACCCTATTTTGGTGGCATGTTATTTTTTGTATTTGATTCTCATTTTTTTTTGTTTTTATTCACATTTTTTTGTATTTTATTCTCATTTTTTTTTGTTTTTATTTGAAAAAAAAATTCTTTTTTTGGCTATTTAATAAGTTGACCTAAGACGACAGGGTTTAAATGCTTAATTTTGAAAAAATTAGGTAAGTTTTTTAAAAAATGAAAGATTACAGACAATTTAACAACTTAACTAGAACCTTGCAATTTAACCCAAAGCTGAATTCTGGCCTAAAAATTTAAAAAATAGGACGCAAGCCTAAAAAAAAATTTTCTTCTTTTAGAAAATAAATGGATAATTGAAATTTCTCCGGGATTAGAATAAAGAAATAAGTTTTTTTTAAAATTGTATTTAACGTTATATATAAAATACGTTTATATTATATTTTTCGATTAAAAATTATGGGCCATGCTCAGGGCTAAAGAAAAAATTGAATTTTACTATTTATTTACAATAAAACATTATCAATTACATGTAGAAATTTGCATAAATCGTATCAAACACTAATTTTAAATAAATTTTTATATAATTTATAAATGTTTAAAAATAAACTATGTTTTGTTTTAAATTGAACACTTCGGAAATAATGATATTTCAGAAGGTACTCTTGAACAAAAGATATATCACCATGTTTTATTTTTGGAAAACGATGATATTGACAAGCTAAACAAACAGATTAGATAAGTCAAATTTATTAATTAGTGTAGTAATTAAAAATCTTGATTTAACCGATTTTAAAAACGGGCTAATTAGCCAAATGGATATTAACTAAACCTCAATATTTCGCCAACAAAATCCCGAGGCTTAGATAATATTTGTTTGGATAAAATCTTGATTTAACATTAATTAGTAGTAAAATTTTATAATGTTCAAACTAGGAATTTTAAATATCTTAATTTCAATTTTTTTGTATAAAACGATAAAATATTCACAGTATAGCGCCAATTCACGGCGAAGTATACAGCAGTATAGCACGAATTTGCGGCTATGAAAAATGCTCAGGGTGCGAATATTGTAACAAAATATGTTAATAAATTTAACCTTTCCTCTTTCGACCAGATTAGTTATCATGACGATAGAGTCTATTCGGTAAAGCCAAACCATGCGCCAAAAATCGGATATAGTGTTGGTCAAAGGTCCCTGAGTGGCTATGTAAGACCTTTCGTGCCCGTTGAACCCTTTATCCAATAAACAGTATTAATTAAAACCTGTATAGGGGTAATCAACTGAAGTGGCATTGTTTAAACATCTCGATTTCGCCTAACCTTTTTTAAAAAGTGCGAAATCAGTCTTTTATCTAAACCATGAGATTTTTCCAAAACCTCTCCTGTATTTTGCAAAATATCGAGGCTTAACTTAATATATGTTTGGCTAAAATCTTGATTTTAAGGGGTTTTTTTTAGTAAGATAAATTGAGGTTTTTATATAACCATATAATTAGAAACCATTTTTTTTGATAAGATTATTTTTATCAAGGAGTTTGGGCGAGGACCCAACTAAAAGGCGGTATCTTTCGAGGGATTAATATTTTTATTATTGGTGTTAAATAGCTCGATTAGAGCCAATTTTTTAAAAACGGCTATCTCAATATTTTAGCCTAAGCTTTGAAATTTCGCTAATAGTTGTCAAAACTCTTGTGTCACTTATGAGCAAAATCTTCAGCCTTACGTTATATTTTTCTGGACAATATAATGAGTTAGCCGTTTTTAAAATCGGCTCAAACCTAGCCTTTAAACAACACTAATTATTATTATTATCGTTACTCCAATAATCATAATGATGCATACAAAAAAATCATTTATAGGGATATGAAAAATGAGATAATGTTAGATTGGTCATAAAAATTATTCGATTATTTTTTGTTTTTGAATTTCAAAATAAAGAATTTGTTTATTATTTGATTCAATCCCTTAAAAAGAATCAAGACTAAAAAAAAATCTTTAACCTTTATAAACTTATCTACTAATTATATACATTCAATATAAATCCTGTGTAATTTGGTGCATTTAACATGGTAACATTGGGTAATTCTTGATCGGAAAAATCTCATAAGCGAATTATATTAATTGTTATTTGAAAATCAAAATAAGTGCAAAAAAAAATTTACCCTCTATAAAATTGGCATTTATATAGTCGTCTTCAACGGCTATTCCACGCTTTTCCGAACCAATTTCGTCATTACAATTTAATTTATCCTTGAAGTTATTAATGTTAACTTTATCACCAAAACCGTTATCGATTATAGTTTCCTCTACTTCTAATCCCAATTCCTTGCCGTTATCCCCATGGCTAAATTTTAGCATAGGATTAATGATACCATATAAATCCCCGTTTTCTCGAGGGGGAGATGACAAAGCGGCGGAGATAAGGGATACTCGAGTATGGGGGTAAGCGAATATATTGGCGTATCGGTTTTTGGTTTTATTTTTGGCCGATATTTCGCGGTTGGCATTATTAATACCGTTATTGAGATTAAAGTTGGAGGCCGTGGAACGACTTTTGCTGACGATAGAGAGAAACTGGTCACAAAAGCCTTGATCTGAATTGGTGTGCATTAGGCGGACGTAATGACCGAATCGTTCAACCACGATGTCCGTGCATCTCTCCTTGTAATCTATGCAAATTATTCGTGCGTGAAAGTAAATGTTTTGTAAAAATTATTTAATATTATGTCTCATATGTATAATCAGAGTTTGGAACCTGAACAAAAAAAATCATAGTTCCGGTCCCGGCTACTACAATTAAAAAAAAAATAGAACCGGTATATAAAGTTTAAAAAAAATGAGTTCTGGGTTCTGTTTTCGGTTCTTAAATATGATGCGATTCCTAGGGTTCCAAGTTCTAGAACTGTTAAAAGCTATCAAAAAATTTAAACAATAAATAACTTCTAAAAATGAATTACGCAACATTTTTAAACCATATAAATTATTTATAATTTTGTTAGAACTGGTTCCTGGAAATTTTAAAAGGGAGGGGGTGGGTTCTTCCAGGATAAATCGTGCATATAATTTAATCATTATCTAATAGGTATTTATGATAAGATTGCTTTAAAGGCTTTTTTTTCTTCTTAAAAATTAGGGGGCAACAATAAATATAAATTATAGTAATTAAGAATTGCCATTTTCAAAATAAATCCTATATATGTACATTCTTTTTGATATTCTACCCCATCATCACTTTCATTTTAGGCCTTTTTAATAAAACAAAATAGATGAACCTATTAACTTATTATAAAAAATAAATTTAACTTAGCTTAATAATTTAATTTAGCATATTTTTAAATTATTCAGATATTAAAAATAAATAATTCGTATAAAAGAATCGAATGAGTAATATTCGATACAAATACTTTAACTCAAATAATCCGAAAATGATATCCGTAAATCGGATACCATTGTAATAAATATCGGGGCACTAGCAATATAATTTAAAAAAAATAGATTATAATAAAATAATTAAAATTAAGGAATGAATAGGTAGATAAAATGAAAGAATAAATATTAAAGTATAAATATGGAAACAAAAGGTATGAATATAATAAATAAATAAATATGACAGATCAAAAATCAATGGTATAGATAAAAAAAAATAAAGAAAACTAGATATACAATATTAAGTGATTCAAATTGACGTTAGAAAATTATTAAGACGCCTCCCCATAATAAATGTTAATTTTGTAAAAAAATAACATATTTCTTACTCGAATTCTCTATGGCGTTTATCCATTCATTGGCAATATTTTTAGGCGTAACATCGCGCTCAGCTTCTTCGCACCCATTCCCTTCGTCTTTACATGGCACCTGCTGACGTGATAACGTGGCATGTATTCTGCATAAAAACTGATGGCGACGATCACGAGGGCGCCGCCATTTTGTCCAAATTTGTCGCCAAAATATGGGGGTTTGATTATTGTTATTATTTCTAAAGTTTGGGAAAATTTTTAAGGGATTTTGCGGGATTTTAGATTCGTTTGTCGTAAGCGGACCATTCGATAAGTTAGAATTATTAATAATCATATCATCTTTTTGAACCTTTTTGTCATAATCGAGTTTTGTTCTGAAATACAAGTTTTTTTAAAAAATTTTTTTAATCGATCAAGTAAGAACATGATTTAGATTTAGTTTGTGTACTCCTCTTCAAAAAACTCGAGAAGTTTCAAAACTTTCGCAAATTTAAAAATTTTGCTTAATTTTTGAAATTTATAAAATTTTCTAGATGGACATTTTCTTTATTCTTTAAAATGGTTTATTTATTTATTTTCATTATATTTTCGAAAGTTTGTGAATTTTTTGATATTTTGGACATATTCTTAAATAAAGAGCATGGACAAAGTGCCATAATTTAGATAAAAAGGGTGATAGATTCAGAGCTATGATTTTTATAAATCTTTTTCGATAAAGTTTGAGAATCAAATTATTTGATATTTTGGATAAAGCCTTAAAAAGAATTTTTAAAAAATGTGTGTATAATAGTCATATGTCCAATTCTTTTTTTTAAAGGTTTATCATATTTTACTTGTTGTGGAATAATTTGAGCGTCATTTTAGAAGCGTCCCCTATCCCCTCGATCATGTTTCCCAGCATGACAATCGTATCCTTCGGCTTTTTAGCGTGGAAATTGGGTATTTTGATTCCGGAACGTTCTGGGTCCTTTTTGGTAGCGAATGTAGAATTTGCCATAGTCTCTTCCGTTTCCTTAGGCACCGGAGGCGGGGAAGGTAGGAAGGAATACTTTTGCTTGTTATGATAACGCCTAAATTTAAAATATGATAATTCGATTATAAAGGGTTATATATTATATATATATACTTTTGCCCGCGTAAAATATTTTCAATTTTCATCATTCGTTTCGGATTTAATTTTCTCTATGAGCCGGAAAAATTTACATAGCAGAGGATTTTAAAAATGGGATGAATGTGAGCCCAGTGAGAGAGTAATGTAAGAATACGAAAAAAACCATCATTTTCCCAGTTCCCCCAATTCCTTCTTCATCCCTTGTGTAGATACAAATTATCCTTTTTATCCCCCAGGTAAACAAGTTAATTTTATTAAGGACTTTCGTAAAATAAAAAAAATTGGTAAAAAAGAAGTATCAATTGTTATTTTATGAAGAATTGATATATTTATTATAATCTTCTTTTAAATATATATTTTTGTATTTAATATTTATATTTGTTTAAATAAATTTAAAATAGAAATTCAATATTATGGAAATTTATATTACTTATTAAAAATTCCATGTATATAATATAATTATGATATTTTATTAAAAATAAATTTAATTTAATTTTTTGTGAAAAGTCTTAATAAAATATTTAAAAATTGAACAATATAATATTAAAAAACATGTAAATGTGTAAGAAGAATTAATACTTTAAAAAAGTGTAATATATATTTTATAGAGTAAAATATGTGTTATTTTTTTTGCGTATTTTTAATTTAAGAAGAAAAAAAAATTAATTACAATGGAATAAATTAAAGAAAGATTTATATTTAATTTATAAATAATAAAAAATGGTATTGTCAAAAAAAAAGTGATATTAGTAATTTTATGCCACAATTAAATTTGACGTAAATGGAAGTAAAAAAAATTGTTATTTTGGGGGAAAAAAACGTGGAAGTACAAACATCTATTGAAGATTTATCTGGCACGCTATGTTTAATTTCATTTTTCTTCTCCTTCTTTCGACATTTATAATTCACGGAAACGTTTAGGTTTATAATCTCGATATAACCCAGATATGTTAATCATGCCATATTATCCAGTGAATTGTTACTATACAACATGATGATTCATTATAATTAAATTTAAAAGGTTTATAAAGATTAGAGATCTACGAGATTTCTTTCTTTAAAGAAAGAATATGGAGATATTCAGGCCGCTTTATAAATAATTATTTATTTTGATATATCGGATGGGCCGATATCCGAAATGAAGGATGGGGGATGAATCCAATATCGAAAAATATTGCCCAAGCCTAATTTAAAATATTATTTATTTTTTTTTGAAAAAAAAATTCAAAATGCGTTTTACAATTTTCCTAAGCTTGTGCAGAATTATTCTAAATAATCTTATTAATATGACCTAATAAACAAAATAACCTACCTTTCCAAAAGAAGGGCTAAATGTCGGCTAATTCGGCAAAAAATCCGTTAATATTTAGGCGTTTTAATTTATATTAGTTTCTTTTAAAATTTGAGCTGCTATATATTTAAGGAAAAACCCCGAGGCTACAAAATGATAGGGTTAAAAACTATAGTAATTACTCAACTATACTAGCTACACACACAAAAAAATGCTAACCTAAACCTATACATGAGAGTATATTATTAAGACAATATGTTTAGCGTATTTAAAGTTTAATCATACGGAAATATTTGTGATTTGTCTTTTTTTTCAAAAAAATATATATATAAATAATAAAAAAATATTGAATAAATTTATAATAAATATAGACTGCCGTAATTTAGGGTAGAACACACACACAAAAAAATAGCACTACCATACAAGCCAAAATCGATTTTTTATAAAATAAGTTATTTACAAAAAATAATCCATATCAAGATTAACAAAATGGAAGGATATCTCTCCTTCCCCCCTCTCTATATCTAATAAATGAATTCATTAGAGTTCAATCTTTTATGATAATCAGATTGTTTTATTCAGTGTATTAACGGGCAAAGTAATTTCCAGAGACCCGTGGGCCCCAGGAGCGTGAAATCGGAAAATGGTATGATTTTGTAAAATTAAAAATAAATAATACAAACTCGGGCCTATATTTTTTTTTGTGAATAAATTTAAATAATATAAATTCAATAATTGGTAAATCATATAAATGGGATCATTTAATGGTCAATTTTTTTTGCAACGTTTTCACTAATTCCTTTTGGGATTAGTTAGTAGTTGAGATAAGAATAAACTTCAAAAAATCGATTTCATTTTTTCAGGTTAAGGGATACATCAATAAATAGACAATCCCCCTCTGTTTATTTCGCGATTATAACTGATCATTAAAATACATTCTCTAGTCTCAATAAAAAAAACCTCGAAAGATGACCATAGGATGTCTTTAACTGCAAGGATTAACAAAAACATTATCCAGTCGCTGAAAAAATCAGATTATATTGGTATCGTGCCAATACCATACTAGTACCAGGCCAACGCCATATTAATTTCGGTGCATCTATGAATCTAACTTTCATGTTTTTTTAAATTTGAGTGATCGTGTAAACCGTTTATATTATGGCGAATTGACTATAAAATAGGAAATGTATTATAAATTCTAAAAAATTATATTTAGAGGGAAGGTTGTTTAACCCCGCCCTGACTCCCTTCCTTCCATTCTTCCAATAAATTGGAGTTAAAACTCGAATACCAATAATAATTAATAAGATATAACGAGAATTGACTATAAAATAGGAAATGTATTATAAATTCTAAAAAATTATATTTAGAGGGAAGGTTGTTTAACCCTGCCCTGACTCCCTTCCTTCCATTCTTCCAATAAATTGGAGTTAAAACTCAAATACCAATAATAATTAATAAGATATAACGAAACACGGAATAATATACGTTTAATAATAATAACCTCCAAGTGAATAACATGAAAAAGGCGAAAATTCCGAAAACAACTGAAAGCGATATGCCAGTGATAATCCCCAGCTGATCATCTACCATATGATAACTTATATTTGAATTGGCTTTATCGGCGGGTACAAAACTAGCGTTATGCGATATAAATCCAACCCTTTGCAAATCAAATAATAGGCGGTTTCCTCGGAAAAGATTTAACTTGTTTTCATCTAAGTTTGATTAAAAATAAAATTTATACTCTACTATATACAATACAGCGGAAGTGCATATGATTAGTAATAGAGCCAAAAGAAGGGACGGGGAGGAGTCACAATAAAGAATCATTTTTGGTTGATTATAGGATCCACACCAGTGTACTCTACTGATGACGGGGAGGAACTAAGGTAATAGGGAAGGAATATTAAACTAGTCGTGTCGTCCTGGTACGCCCTCTTTTCAATCGAATAATTTTTTAGAATTTAAATTCATATAGCTATTTATATTTTATATCAATATATGCCCCGAAATCATATTTCCTTCAAAAATGGGAAAGGAAGGGGCAAAGGTTTAAGGGAGGGTGCTCCCCATCCTAATATAAAATCAGTACTTGCAATTGAGCAGCTACATTAAATTTTTGTTTTAAAACCTAAAAGAATATGAAGAAGCTTGCTAAATAATTTATTATTAGGCAAACCAATGTGAATTTAGCCTTTTTAATATAATTTTTTATGAGCACCCCCATAATTAAAAAATTATAGCTTTTGAGCCCCCCCCCCTTCCATATTTTTCAAAAAGCAAACGCATGCAAATCAGATGTAGCGTCATAGTGATTAAGGGGTAACCACAGGCTGCATTGGGCAGGTTTTAGGCCGCTCGCTCTCTCATATTTCGGACAGGCGTGGTCGGGTTTTTAAAAATATATTCAACATTGAGTGGGCGGATTAAATTTTTTAAGTAATGAGCGGAAGTGGGAGGGTGAATTTTTAAAATTTTTTTAGGCGAAATGAGCAGAACAGACTTCAATTTATTAAAAATTATAGTTTGATTTCATAATATTGCATATTATATATGCTTAATTAAAAATATATTTAAATAAATAAATAAATAAAGAGCCAAACCAAACCAGCAATTAAAATAATTGTTAAACATTAGGCGGGAGGGTTAAACAAAATTTATAGATAAATAAACCGGTGGGTAATTTTTTTTTAAAAATGATAAGTTGAAGGGTAGGGAGGGGGTTAAATTTCCAAACAACGAGCAGACCTCTAATTTGTCTTAGTCTAGAGGGATATGCACAAATCATATCGAATCAAGGGTAGTTAAATTAATAAATTTATAATACATTCTAATTTATATAATATTTTTTTTTTTTAAAAAAAACCAATTTTTCTTTATACCTAACATGTGAAATCTCTTTAATTGGCTGAATTTTCCAACAATTACTTTATTTTCGACTAATTTACTATGAATCAAACCAGCTAATCTAATGTAATAAGGTGTGCCAGGAACCAAATCGTTGATAATCAATTTCTGCATGGAACATTGGGATAGAATTACTATATAGAATTATAAATTTATTCTATACTTGAATATCCTTTAAGTTTTCTTTGCGAGAGGAGTATTTAAAAATGGAGCTTAAGGAATATTTGGACACCTTATCTCGACTTTTGGTTTTTGAATAGACCTCTATAATATAATCCTCGGGGATAATATGATCATAACTTCTATCATTTTTATCGTCTGCGATGGGCTTCCAAGTCAAAATAGCGGAAATTGATTTCAAATTATGTCCCGATATATTTTGTTGACGGCTATCATTATTATAATTAACAAAGACGAAATGAGATTCGTTAGCGGAAAAATACTGGGTGGTTGAATTCTCCAAGAAGTGCAATCCAATGATAGAAGGAGGGCTAGGAGCTGTAACAAAGTATATTTCCAATTAGCAATTTGTTAGAGGTGATTTTTTTAAAATTTATAATTATTTATTTATTTTTTTCAAAAAAAATCCTATATTATTAAACATTTTTAATCCGGCATATGTTTAAAATTTATGTAAATATTTAATATTTTTTTCAAAAAATACTAATGAATTAAAATATAAATTATACAAATTTTTCTTCTCTCTTGAATTAAGTTGAAAATAAAAGTGAATTAGATCAAGATTTTCCAAACTCAATATCACGTAGAAAATGCAATATTATTATATTAAAACTTTGAGTATTTTAAATGATTATTTTATTTTTGATAAAAAAAATATAAAAATGAAAATTTATGAAAATCGATATTTATGAAAAAAAGGATAAATAAAATGTGAACTTATATTCCTTTAATCAAGTTAGTACCATTATTAATCACATTTAGGAGAAAGAATTTAAAAAAAAACAATAAAATCATAGGTGTAACGTAATTTTAAATAAATAATCTTCAAAAGGCATTAACAAGAATATAAAATATTTAACCTCGAGGGAAAACGAGAATTCTTATTAAATAATTCAAGAATTTAAATATTTATCCGCTGTTAAAAATATATGATTCTCATTAACTTTTAAAAACTAATAATTTATATGATCATATGGATTGTGTTATCGAAAAAAAATTATGTAATAGGATTAATTTTAAAATCTTAACTACAAGTTCATCGAGAATTAAAAAAAATTTAATTCCATTTTGAATTTATATTTAAAATTAAAATCAATATCGCTTTTTTCAAGAAGTGATTGTAAAATTTCAAATAATTCCTAACCTTTTACATCGGTCCTCTCGACAAAGGATTGAATACCATCATATTTCTCATTTTTGTCCAAAGAATATATAGAAAATTTATATTTGGTAAGTGGATCTAAAAATTCAATACGATTTGTTATTATACCATAATATTTATAGTATAATTTTTATACCTATATTTTTTAAAGTAACATTCCATATTTCGTCATTGATATTTTCGTTTAAAATATTATCACGGTCATTTATTCCGTGAATAATGTTGTCGTTAATGATATCCTTTTTCCCGGTATTCGACAAAATTAATAGTCTTACTACAGCTGTTTTAACGGATACATTATCGATAGCTATACTAGAATCCTCAAAAAACTTATTGAGATCGATCCGATAATTATTATCGCCGTCATGACGAGCGATTACGTGATTAGGAGTCGCTTTAATATTATCGTCTGATCCCAATTGAAATATTTCCGTATCATTTATCAATGATTCGTGGGATTCGTCAAATTTCGATCGTTCTACGATGATCAAATATCCAACTAGGTTACCTCCATTGTTTACCCCGTGAGTGGAAAACCAATTAATATTAATATATTGGCCTTTTAATGAGTGAGAAAATTTAAAAAGTGAAAATGGGTGTCGATTATTTAATATTTTGTTTGTGGCACTCATGTTCGTGCGATTTTTTGATGTATTCGTTTTGATTGTGACTATAAAATACGAAATTTATCTCTTTTTTTTAAAAAAATAAATAAATAATTTACCCTTATTTTTTTTATCATCGCCAATTAGAATAACAGAATCGGATGCTTTACTATAAATAAGGGAACCATACATATCAGAAGCAATTATTCTTAAGGTGTATTCTGTATTAGTCTTCATATTTTTAAACTCTTGTATCCCCTCTATAGAGTTATTTGTTAGATTAATAGTTAAATTATTATCGAATTTTTTCCAAGATGTATTTAATCCTTCCCTATAATAATATAATCAAACATGTCTATAATAATAAATTATTGATAAATGAAAGTTTGTTTAACTAAATAAAGATTGGGTGTCCTAAAAACATATTTAATATAATAGAGGATAGAGTATATAAGCTAGGCAATACTCAGGAGTTCGCTATGGAAGTTTGGGGGGGGGGGTGTAATTAATTTTTTCAGAATTATTCTAAGAGTTATTTAAGAATATCTTAAGTTTCAGAAATTTATTAGAATTGGCTTAAAATATTAATACTAATATACAAATTTAAATTTGAAAAAATATTAATTGTATATAATCGGCATATGAATCATGCCTCATTTATAGTAAGCAGCCGCTATTGAAATCACAGCTATTTTTCATAAGTTAATAAATTTTGAGGTTTACGTCCTAACATTTTTTCAAATTTTATCATAGCTGCATCATCATAATGCTTCAAATTATACTTATTTATTGGCTTTATTTTATATAACGCACCGTTTGAACATAATATAATAATGCCTTTAAATATATGCCTCGAAAAGATCTTAAAAAAATATAATTATTTTAAGCATTTAAAATTTGACACATAAATATATAAATTATATTTTTTTAAAAAATGTTGGAAATATTAATGCACAAAAATGTTCTTAAAAATTATAAAGTATTCATGTATAAATGAGAAAGATAAATTAAAAAGCATATTATAAATTTATGCTTGGTATCAACTCACTATGTGTAATCCATTAGCGAAATCTCAAGTCTTAGAAATATTTTCTTGGCTAAAAATTTTGAGTAAGCTGTTTTTCAAAATCATTTCAAATCGATTCATTTAATAACGCTACTTCTCAGGTATGTTTTTATTCTTGTTAAAGAAAATTTTTTTCATTGGTAGATGTACTAATGGGTAGAGATGCCAAAATATATAATAATTTTAATAAATTAGGAAAATAGTCTAAAATATGTTTGAAATGATGTGAAGGATTTATAGAATTTTTTAGAACATTATCAACCATATTTAATCGTTTATACCATAGTTTGCATTCAGCTAATAATGCATCGTGGGATATTTAAACATCCTCATAATATAAATCTGCCAAATATTTAATTTTTTTATATCAAGATCTGAAATATATTTGAAAAGATTCTGCAAAATAATATCTGCAGATTTGTAAGTGCTGCTTGATTAATCAAGAACCCTTCATTCATTTGAGATAAAATTATCGATGAGGGAGATAAAGAGAATTGTTTTATTTTAACTAACCCTATATGAATATTGGAACATTAGGCTTGTCTTGCTGTGAGTAGTGATAGACAAGTAAAAAAATCATAGAGCTCTGTTTTTGACTCAACAATAACATATAATTTACGAAATTGGTCATCTACATTTGCCCTAATTTCCTTAAGTTCCAATATAATGCTTTCAGCTATTATTCTCATAGTTCTAATCAAATTGATGTCATTTTTTTGAAATATTGTACTTTATTTTGCAGTGTATAGGTTAAATGATTTGGTGGGAAATTTTAAATGATAGGTAAATATAATGCTAAAGAAAATTTGAAATCAATTTTAATTTTTAGAAAAAATTTATAGCGTATTTATTCCTGCTGTGAATGTGATAAATAAATATAAAATGTAATACACATGTGATAAAAGGTAGGAATTAATATTTTTAAAAATATATTTTAGCTGGCATCTGAATTTTTTGGCTGGGGTAAGGGCAATGCATATGTGATGGCATGAGCAATGAGATAATAGAACAAAAAACTAGGTATTTACATGGTAATAATTGTAAATCATTTGGAATTTAAAAATCAATTTCTGCCTTCAAATGAATGCACTATATTTCATACATTAATAATTTTTATATATCAAAAAATGGAGAAGGTAGGGCTTGAAATCTATATTAAAAAAGCTATTGGTTTTAAAATATAAATTTATTTGATCTTTTTTAATGGTTAATATTGTAAACCAAAAATATATTGGGTGCATACCATGTGTAGTGATCTAAATGCTGAGAATCATTAATAAAAATTAAAGACCTACAGCCCAATCTTCAGCTATATGGGCTGGGCCATATTTTTTTTTTTTACCTGAGCTGGGCCTAAAAAATTTTTTCTAAAAAAACCCAGGCTGGGCCAGATATTTTGAAACTAAATATCAAATAGCCTTATTCTCTAAAAAATCAAAAATAGATATAACATATTTCTAAAAAATCCTGTCCAGGTCTGAAAATACAAACCACTGGTCAGGCAGAAATATTTTTTAAAAAAAATCTGGGCCAGACCAGACCAAATTTTTTTTTAAAGATCCAGGCTGGGCTGTGCAAGTGGTACCTCTGCAGGCCTCTGATAAAAATCAAGGAGAAATAAATATTGAATTGGCTTTAATATTGATGTATTTAATTTTATAATCTATATTTCATATTGGAATGGCTGGATAAAATTTCTTAGACCATACAAACATGCAGTCTGATTCAGATTTTTTTTGAAAAACAAATCCAATCTGAGTATTTCAAGGGACTAAGTTTAAACTTAACCATTTAAAAAAAATTATAATGTTGAAAATACAAGTAAAATATTTATTAGGTATTATTTCTGAAAAAATATCCTCAAAAACATTAGGAAAAAATTTAAGATTCAAGGTTTAAGTTCGACCCAATCTTCCAAATCACAGTCTGCAACAAAGTCAATATGTGTGCCCCAAGTTCACCATAGAAGTAAACCAAGAATATATTGGTATAAGTCCCGACACTAGATTAATTCAAGAGAAAAGGTAATAAAAACTATATAGCAAAACAAAAATATTTTAGCCATGACCTATCAAAATTCAATGCATACCTCCCTCTATATGATGTACTGATGGTCCCTTCCCTAGATAACAAATTAAAAATTAATAACATAATGTTCTAAATTGCAAATATAGTTATTATTTGAATACATTATATATAAATACCTGTATTCAGTGTCATAAGTAAAGGTAGAATTATGTGACCTTGAATTGTAATTTTTCCACTTAATCTTAAAAGTAGGATACTTAGCTTTTTTGAGCAAAACCACAGTGAGTTTTTCAAATTCTATGTCATCTTATTTTTTTTCATAGTCAAGATAAACTTTTTATCAAATTTAAGTAAAACCTTGAACTATCAGATATATACCCTGAACAAGACGATTATTATTTCTGTCTATTATGCATTTATAGAGCCCAGTGTCATTTGATGTTAGATTTTGCAATATTAAATTTTTGTTATCAAATATAGTGGCTCTCAACCTATATTTAGGGCCGAGAATAACATCGGAAAGGTTGGTTACATATGCTATTTTTCTAGTATTGTTAAACAACCATTTCAACGATTGTATAGTAGAAATATCATCAAGTAGGCAAGTAAAATTGTGAGAATTACCACTTTTGACGTATATACGTTCTAAATATTCATGTATAATTAATAGACATTATTATATTAACTATATTGAGCGCCAATTCCTAAAATATTGTAAAAAAGCCATAAAAGTGGTAACCACAATGTTCCCTTTGACATCTTCTGAAGGGTTCAAACCTCAAAGATATCGAAATGCTTAATACTGTTTAATATAAAATAAGATGACATGAGAGGTCACGAATGCCATCTATTATCATTTGATGGAGTATGACATATGACTTTTACATATATATTATAAACAAAAATAAAATTCTAGCAAATTTTAAAGCATATTTACTTTGCAGAAATCTGAGATAACCATTTAATGAAAAGCTTTATTATAAAATGGTTATTTTTAGATTAGTCATACTCCTAGGTTCATGAAAATGTTAGATTTGATTTGTTATTCGAAATTTTCAAATGCGAATAAAAAATTATTTAATTCGAGAAATTACATTGAATACGAATGATAATAAAAATACCTTTGATAAATAATAAATTTAAATTTTTATTCTTTAACTTTGAATTATATGTAAATATTCGAATTATATATAAAATAAAATTAAGGACATAGAAGAGCTGCTGTTTTTGTCATATGATTATAATCACATAAAGAATATATAAATAGGAAAAAATGATGGCTAAAAGAATGGATTAATATAAATTATTTTAAAATAATTATTTCTATTACATTAACTAAGGTTCGATTATGAATTATATAATACATGTTTTAATTTTCATTATTCGTATCACAAATATGATTAATATAGTATTCGATTCAAAATGTACAAATATTCGACGTGCAAAACTAAACCAAACTACTTAAATCTAAATTTACAAATGAACCACGTAAATTTTGCGGAGACTATAGCGAATAAGCTCAAATAAAAATAGGTCCTTTTGGCTACTTCACACTACTCGGTAGCAACGATATTGGGAAAGGCCCAAATTCTCACTAGACCCTTCTGCAAAATTATTATGCATAAGTTGGGTAATAATTATTATGCTAGTTTGAAATTTTTTAAAATATTTTGCTGTTTTACGTCTCCTTTAAAACTGTTTAGTTGGTATCTAATAAACATAGAATTTTCTAGTGCTGTAAACATTTCTAAAAATATTGAACGCTCACAATCAACATTCATTAACAAATATAGAACGCGTTCACGGTCAAGTTCATTTTCTAAAAAATGGAACGCGTTCACGATCACGAACGCTTTCGAAAATTTTATGATAAATTTTTTTTTAAATTTAATCTAATATAAATAAATATCTTATATTTATTAACATAATATTAGCCATGTTTAAAAATAATATAGTTTTATTTTGATAATATAATTATAAATTTAATATAATATATCAAAAACCTTTTTTATTAATTTTTAATAACAATATTTTTGAAAATTTTCATTTGATAGACAGTAACGCTTGGCATTAATACGGCATTAGCGATACTAAAAACGTGTTCAAGGGTAAATAAATAACACTTCCAACGTGAGGAATTTATTAAAAACATTTATTGTATTGGTATTTGCTTCAAAAAATTGAGATAAGTATCCTCCTCTAATCCATTCTCTACTTCCTCGACAAAAAAAAGGATATCATGAAATTACCCTTTATTACATATGACTACTTAATCAGTCATCTCATATAGTGAATTTTCTAACCTATTTTACCGCGTAAATTATTTTGGCGCAAAAATTTTAATTGTATCTTATAAGTAAAATTCCTTTTATATAAAAATCATTTTTTTAAATAGAAATTCTTATATTTATTTAAAGTGCGAGTATTTAATGTCAGCTGTTCCCTATATTTCAAAATTGATATTTTTAATTACATTTTTTTAACATTAAACTTTGATATTATTTTTCAAAAAAATATGAACCAGATAACTAAAATATTCCTATATTCTTTTCCGTTTTTATATTTAAAAAAAATTTATTTAAAAATTTTTTAATCGATAATATATGTATGTTACTAATAAGACTCTAATATGATTTAATCAACATGATTATTTTTATGATAACAGCTTTTTAGAAAATGGCCACAATAATGAGGATGATAATTCAATATAATTTTACTATTATAAATAGAAAAAGAGATATAATATAGAAGGAAAAAAATTTAAATATCCCTAAAATTTATCTAAAATTCAATGGAAAGTCCACTATATCCAGCGAGATACTGGCTTTAGATACTCCCTATCAATGTTTATCATATTTTGAATGATAATTTCCTAGATTTAGTAATTCTCGCAACCAAATATGCAGCAATAAAAAATATTAACAAACCTAAAAAAATTTCTATAGTGGAGCTAAGGAAATTCATTGGGATTAATATTCTCATGTCCAATTACCATCCATAAGAGACTATTGGAAAGATGTAATTGGCAATGATCTTATAAAAAAAGACGATACTAAATTTGAAAGCATTCGATCCATTCTTCATTTTAATGACAATAATAATTCTATAGCAAAACAACCAGGCCATAATAGGCGTATAAAATTAATTCAATTGTGAAACACTTTCAAGATAGGTTTTGTAACAATTCCTAAAGAGGAATGCTTACCAATCGATGAGCAATTTGCTCAACTAAAGCTCATATACATTTAAAACAATATATGCCAATGAAGCCTCATAAATGGGGCTTTAAATTCTTCATTCTATGCGGTGCATCAGAATTTGCCTATGATTTTAATCTATATTCTGGGCTGGAAAAAAATTCTGAAAAAAGATCAACAACAGAGCCAGAATCGTCAAAGGTGAAAAATCCATATGTAAAGTCGTTACACATGTAAAATGCTGTTTCCATGCAAATAAAGACAGTTTTATTTTATTTCATACCAATATATCATATACAATAAATTGTTTGTTAAATACAATTTGTGACTTATATGTTGTCGTATTCATAAATACGTTTACATTATATATTTTTTTTTACATTAGATATAATTGTAATTATAAATATATATAGTATATATTATAACACGTCGCTCATAATCACGTGTTTTTTTTTATATAATATGGTAGTTATATAATATAGATTGGATATTATATGGATTATTATATATTATTTTTATTATTTTTTATGAAATGATATTATTATTGATATTATCGAAAATAAATTTGTTTTTTCTTTTAGAAGTGTTGGGTTAGTCTCTAGGATTTGTTTTTATTTAGAAGCGTTGAGTTGGTTTCGAGGATTTGTTTAAGTAGATTTTGTTTTAGTTTGTGTTTGTAGGTTTTTTTTTAGTGGTGCCTTGTGGCGCTGATAGTTTCCTAGGAGTTATTCGGTTTAGAAGGTAAAACAAAAAATTTTTAATTATATAATTTTCTTAAATTTTTTTGACTGCGCATTTGTACTGACCATTATACGATTTTGATAGTGAAGTTTTTATTTAAGGTGCTGTATTAATATTTTCTACAAGTATTTAAAGTGTTTGTAATTGAGTATTAGTATTGACTAAAAGATTCATGGCCAAATGGTTCATTTTTTTAGGTATCATAAGATTTCACTATATACGAATTTGGGTTTTAAAGTTTTGTATAAAAATTTTGATGAGTTGGATTTAATTTAACAAGGAATGATAATTGGAATAATGGTAATAATTTATATATTGGTGATTTTGGTGAAATATTTGGTAAAAAGGGGTACCGCGGTACTGGCAGGCATGTATTGCAGTTGGAAGAAGGACACTGCGGTGTCAGATGTTTATAAAAAGAAAATGGCAGAAACGTATTTTAATTTAATATCGGATATTTATGGGAAGAAAATAGCAGACTTGGAAAGTAATCTAAAAAGTGTTTTAGAGGGAATCAAGGCTGGAGATGTGGGGAAGAGGTCGGATAAGATCCTCCTGGAAATGAAAGAAATGAAAGAAGCCATCAATGCGTTGATAAAAGAGAGCAAAAGTCCGATTAAGAGCCAGGTGGGTGATAGAAATATGAATAGGAAATTTAATGATTACGAGGAAAATAAAGGATTGTCGGAAAATAAAAGATTTGTGGAAATGATCATTTGCCATCGTTGCGGATGGAGAGGACATAAAAGGGATACATGCGTGGTCCCAGAGCAAAGGTTCAAAGATGGATTTCCGTTAAAGAGATCGGAAATAGGAAATGCTAGTGTAAAGGTGGTTCGGGTGAATGAATCTCGAATATGTTTTAAATGTAAAAGGCCGGGACATGTAGCTGTGGACTGCATGGAAGTATCTCAAAATTCGTGTTGACTATATGATTGCAGAGTGAATCATATAGGAGTCGGGGCTCCGAGAGTTCGGAAAAATTTGTTTAATAACACATTTAATATTGTTAGTCGGGATAATGGGAATGATAGAATAAAAATAAGAAGGCATTCTCGTAATTTCCCTGAGAGGGAGATTAGTCGATTTAGGTGGGAACAATATCCGAGGAATATTGTCCGTTATTCTCTTAGAAGGGATGTTAAGAATTTTAGAAAGATGTCCCACAAATCTTGTTAAAAGAAATGTAATTGTCAGTAATAAGAATTTAAATTCCGAGTTGAATTTAAGGGGCAATGAGAATGCCAATGAAATTATTATTTTAGATAGAATAAACGCTGTCCGATTAAAACATATGATATTTTAATGACGGAAAAATTAGATGGACCATGTTTGTGTCCGAGGGTTAGTTTGAAGATTGATCATAGGAATATAGAAATGCTATTTGACACCGGGGCTAGTATTTCTCTAATGTCGCGGGAGAATTTTTATAAGTATTGGCCTGGGGGTAGACTGGAAAAAGAGGCTATGTGTGTCAGGCAATTTGATGGGTCGGAAGTCGCTGTGTTGGGAAAGGCCAAATTGGGAGTTAATCTTAACGATGTAATCTTTTTCCTTGATTTATGGGTGGTGAAGGAAAGTGTGGAAACTATCATGGGGTGGAGTTGGATTGTTCAGTTGGGTCCCTTTAATAACTTTTGGAATATTTTTGCAAAACCGGGGGTTGCAAAGGGAACTAAGAATATGAGTCTGGGGGTTAATAAGGTTCGAGATAAAATTTGGGAAATAGAAGGGACGGATTCAACTGTAAAAGAAGGGAATTCAACCTGTATTTCTAAGAGGTTCAACCCGAAGGTTTAGGCTCATCTTAGAGCAGTGGTGATATATATATTGATGCAAAAATAAAGCATAAAAGGGAAAGGAAAGGTAAATGAACTGTT